TATTGGTGGTTGTGAGTGGTGAAAATCAAGGTACTTACAGTTCTGGTGAATTTGAATCTGCACAAAATAACGGCAAGGTAGACTGACACAAGTAGATGAGACCGGTAAATCAAACTGGAATGTATACAGGGTAACGATGTTAGCACACACTGAACACAGAGGATTTGGGAAGGAGAATTGAAAGGCCTGACCTGCTGCTGGTTGTTGGCGTTGCTGCTCACGATGATCCGGCTCGAGGGTCCAAATTTTATGTCAATTTGTGTATGTTCTTCTGGTGAAATATTTAGGTCGGTAGGGCTTTCTTCAATGAATTCCTTTATTCTAATATATTATATAAATGCGTATATTTAAGGTAAGTAGTACAGACAAAATTCATATGGTAAGTGTCCTCGTTACAAGTGTGATCTATATATATAAGCGATCGTTGACATTTTCAAAAAGTAACGAACCAAATACAATCAAAAGAGCGTTACTTCCTGTTTAAACTTCAATCCCCTCAGTTCCTTTCCAAGGTCCTAGATGGCGCTAGACGTTCTTAACACAAGTTAATACATTTAGTGTATCTTTTTTCTAAGCCCATGATTTCCTTAGAAAAAATTTCTTTGTCTTGACCCTCCCAAAATGCCTCTACTGCGGCCATCACTTCACTATTGTCCTCAAATTTGTTGCCCCGGAGGTGTTCTTTGAGCCGAGGAAAGAGGTAGAAGTCACTGGGAGCTAGATCTGGCGAATAGGGAGGGTGTTCGAGCAGTTCGAACCCCGTTTCTTCAATGGCAGCCATCGCAACTGCGGCTTTGTGAGCCGGGGCGTTGTCTTGGTGAAACAGCACTCCAGCGCGCAGTTTACCGCGTCTTTTTGACTTAATAGCTTCTCGCAATCTTCTTATTTGGCCTGCGTAGTAAGAGCCTGTTATAGTGGCCCCCTTTTCCAAATATTCCACCATAATAATTCCTTCTGCATCCCAGAAAACAGACGCCATAACCTTTCCCGCTGAACTTGACACTTTGAATTTCTTCGGCGTTGGTGAGGAAGCTCGTTTCCAAGTCATTGATTGTTGTTTGGTTTCGGGATCAAAGTGGTGGATCCAGGTCTCGTCCATGGTCACAAAACGCGACAAAAAAAAATTCTTTATCGGCCTGGAACTTTTGAAGATTCACCCTCGAAATGTCGACTCGACTTTTTGAACGCTGCCATAGGAGATCCCTGTGACCTCAGCTACATGCCTTACGGTCACCCTTCGATCGGCCAACACGATATCTTCCACTTTTTTGACGTTTTCTCCAGTAAGGGACGTGGAAGGGCGTCCCTCGCGATGTTCATCTTCAGTGGAGGTTCTGCCCAGCTTAAATTCCTTTGCCCAGCGTGCGACTGTGGAATATGGAGGAGCAGACTCCCCCAATGTTTCCTCTAAGTCGCTGTGTATGTCTTTGGTAGACATTTTTTTCAGGCAGAGCTACTTGATGACAGCTCTTATTTCATTTTTCTCCATTTTGATGTTTTCTCTTCGACAGTTCGTATTCAAATGAATGTATCTCCCGGTAATGGTGTCCTATTTATACATTTTTTTGAAGCTGAAGTAGTGGATATATAAGCAAGCAGAAAAAAAATAATTTGGGTTTTTGTGCGTTCTAGAAATACTCGATTATCATTACTTGTTGATCACCCCTCGTACTAGCTGGTACCCGCGTGGAATTTGAAAAGCGCTGCCTTAGTGGTGTAGTACGGTACGCGACTACAGTCCACGAGGCCTCGGGTTCGATTCATCGACATCGGGTAGGTCTGAGAATCGGCCAACATCTATTTTTCATACCCCTAAATGACTCCTAGAAATAATGTATATGGCAAAACAACGTTTTCCGGGTCAGCTAGTAACTTGATAAATTTTGCCGACTATCCTGATCAAAATCTTCAGGATTAATGCCCTTTGCATACCCAAAAATAGGTAGTGTCTTTTGCTACGTACTAAGGCGTGTGCTCAAGCATATTTGACTTACTAACTTTTAACTACCTAACTGAGGTGTTGTTTAGAGATGGAATGAATACTCGATTTAGGTAGTTAACTAAAGTTTATTGTATCACACGACACATATATGAAATGCACAGAGAAAGGTTTAACCAGGCGGGCGGAGTCGGGTGCGCGTATAAATGCGTGATCGCTATCGTGGCTAGGAACCGACTGCCTGTCGCGTCTCTGCGTCCGCCTGGCTTCGTACGGAAAATGCTAACATAACATAATAGCTTAGGGCTGTCGACACAATAGCATAGGGCTGTCGCCACAGTACTCCCCCCCTTTTTGAAAAATGTGGGACACATTTGTTAAGCAAGAGAAAAAAAATGAAGGAATAAAAATGTATTACTATTTCACAATCCAAAGTTACTAGCGGAACCCCAATGAATAATGTATACAATGCAATCAGAACGCTGATGCGTCATTCTGTGTGCGACGCCCTTGTTTATATTAAGTAAGTACTTAAGTAATACACTGTTACAATGTAAAAATGTGGTGCATGTTCTATTTATAGAATGGTATAGCCTTGTTAGCATGGTTTTTATCATAGCTGGACAAATAGTTGAAAACATAGTTGAAATTAAAAAAATAAAATAAAATAATAATAAATGAAGTTGGTTTAGAGGCTAAAAACAACAGGACCTCTTAGAACGCTTCGCTCATATACATTTTGCTTGTTCATCAAATAAAAGCAAAAACAACGAGTTAAATGGAAAAAAAAAGGAAAATAATCGACACTAGATGAACCATAGTTGCAAATAAAGAGCAAGTAAAAGATTCAGAAAGTTCAGGTGCCGTAACACTACATTGTACAATGCCTGAAATACAATTTTTCTTAGTTGCTTTCTCTAACAATGAGTTAAATGAAAAAGGGAAAATAATAACATAAAACAAATAATTTTTCTATAACTGCTAGGTACATACGGATACGGTTTGCCGTTGGCCATTTCGCAATAATTCAGTTTATCTTAGTCAGGTAGCTACAATGTTGCAAACGTGACTCTACTGATTGCGTAATTTGAGTATCCTGTGCCCGAGCTGTGGCTAGTTCGGCGAAGTCGATAGTCGTTTGGCGCGTTATTGTTTCCGCTCGAAATAACGCGTCAGCAACTGTGTTCTCAGAACTGCCTATGTACCTAGCGCAGTAGCTTGACGTCACATACTACTAATGTCTACACTATTGTTCTATTTAATCTAATGACTAAACCTAATTTTTCGCTCTAGCACGCACAGGCAGTGGTTGTCCAAGTCTTCTTGGCTGACTCGCTGGACCTTGCTACTCGCTGTTCTCTCAGCTGTGATGCGTTCTGTTCCTCGCTTTGTAGGTCACCAGAAGCTTATTACTTGAATTAATGAAGTTGTGTCCATCGACTAATCTGCGTGGCGTTGCGTGCGTCGTAACTCTGGAGGCGGAATTATGGCCTCGAATTGCGTGACCCATAATTTTGCAGTCCCCTCTCGACGGGGCGATTCTGCTTGCCATCCTAATTGCGACGAACTTTCTTCTTTGTTCGATGCAGCTCTCGGCGTTTGATCGCAGCCGGATGCGCGTTTCTTCTTCTGTCGGTACGACTCTACGGCGTTTGATCGCAGCCGGATGCGCGTTTCTTCTTCTGTCGGTACGACTCTACGGCGTTTGATCGCAGCCGGATGCGCGTTTCTTCTTTTGTCGGTACGACTCTACGGCGTTTTATCGCAGCCGGATGCGCGTTCCTTCTTTTGTCGGTACGACTCTACGGCGTTTGATCGCAGCCGGATGCGCGTTCCTTCTTTTGTCGGTATGAATGTACAGCGTTTGATCGCGGCCGGATGTGCGTAATTCGATATTGCCACCCGACTCGTTATGTCCGCCCGCCTGGTTAAAACGTTGGAGGATTAAAACTTTCGGAGTCACTACTGTACTTTAACTAATTGATGTGTTCACTTTTGATTACGTCAGGTGCGCGTTTCTTTCTTCGACGGGGTTGTGCGTTTCTTCTTCGTTGGGGTTGCGCGTTTCTTTCTTCGTCGGGGTGCGCGTTTCTTCTACGTCGGGGTGCGCGTTTCTTCTTCGTCGGGGCAGGTGCGTGTTTCTTTCTTCGTCGGGGTAGGTGCGTGTTTCTTTCTTCGTCGGGGTCACCACTTTAACTACCTAACTGAGGTGTTGTTTAGAGATGGAATGAATACTCGATTTAGGTAGTTAACTAAAGTTTATTGTATCACACGACACATATATGAAATGCACAGAGAAAGGTTTAACCAGGCGGGCGGAGTCGGGTGCGCGTATAAATGCGTGATCGCTATCGTGGCTAGGAACCGACTGCCTGTCGCGTCTCTGCGTCCGCCTGGCTTCGTACGGAAAATGCTAACATAACATAATAGCTTCGGGCTGTCGACACAATAGCATAGGGCTGTCGCCACAAACTTGTTACTTTTTTAGTCTTAAAGAGAAAATAATCATCATTAATCACTAAAAAAGCAAAAATAATTTATAGTTTAAAAGAACTTGCTTTTGTAACTAGCCGAACTAAAAAGTAGAAAATAATTTGTTATAAATTCAAAAAATTATAATTTTATTGTAAATAAGCGTGGGATGCTTTTCAAGATATTTAATAACTTTACTCATACCAATATTTGTCAATACATGATTTTAATTTAAAAAAAAATTGTTTTCACTTTTTTGGTTCGGTTAGTTACAAAAGCTGTTAAAACTATACACTTTTGCTGTTCGCGGGTTACGTACACTGCTTGATAGGCGAGGATAGATATTTTACTTGTACCAATTTAATTGATTCACACACTAAAATCGTGCGGTGACGGATTAAGAATACAATGTCACCGGACACTCACCGGCTCTTACTACACCTAACTTGACTTGACTAAGGGAGCAAACTACGCAGGACAGCAGTGCAACGAGTACAACAAGGCAATTTATAATTTATGTGAAATGTAGAATGTTTTAGGAGCCAATGACAATGAGTTGAGATGATAAACGGTATATTGAATATTGCAGGAGGACTTCGACAAGTACGGGATATTGATCCTGGTGCGGTTCCGTGCGGACGAGCAGCTGGCGCCGCTCACGCGCCACGCGCAGTCCGGCGGCGAGCGCGCGCTCTCCACCGCGCTCTACCTGCTCGCGCTGCAGCGCCAGGCCACCGTGCCCTTCAGGTGAGCACACTCTACTGTAGGGGCAGCTGACGCTCTACCTGCTCGCGCTGCAGCGCCAGGCCACCGTGCCCTTCAGGTGAGCACACTCTACTGTAGGGGCAGCTGACGCTCTACCTGCTCGCGCTGCAGCGCCAGGCCACCGTGCCCTTCAGGTGAGCACACTCTACTGTAGGGGCAGCTGACGCTCTACCTGCTCGCGCTGCAGCGCCAGGCCACCGTGCCCTTCAGGTGAGCACACTCTACTGTAGGGGCAGCTGACGCTCTAACTGCTCGCGCTGCAGCGCCAGGCCACCGTGCCCTTCAGGTGAGCACACTCTACTGTAGGGGCAGCTGACGCTCTACCTGCTCGCGCTGCAGCGCCAGGCCACCGTGCCCTTCAGGTGAGCACACTCTACTGTAGGGGCAGCTGACGCTCTACCTGCTCGCGCTGCAGCGCCAGGCCACCGTGCCCTTCAGGTGAGCACACTCTACTGTAGGGGCAGCTGACGCTCTACCTGCTCGCGCTGCAGCGCCAGGCCACCGTGCCCTTCAGGTGAGCACACTCTACTGTAGGGGCAGCTGACGCTCTACCTGCTCGCGCTGCAGCGCCAGGCCACCGTGCCCTTCAGGTGAGCACACTCTACTGTAGGGGCAGCTGACGCTCTACCTGCTCGCGCTGCAGCGCCAGGCCACCGTGCCCTTCAGGTGAGCACACTCTACTGTAGGGGCAGCTGACGCTCTACCTGCTCGCGCTGCAGCGCCAGGCCACCGTGCCCTTCAGGTGAGCACACTCTACTGTAGGGGCAGCTGACGCTCTACATGCTCGCGCTGCAGCGCCAGGCCACCGTGCCCTTCAGGTGAGCACACTCTACTGTAGGGGCAGCTGACGCTCTACCTGCTCGCGCTGCAGCGCCAGGCCACCGTGCCCTTCAGGTGAGCACACTCTACTGTAGGGGCAGCTGACGCTCTACCTGCTCGCGCTGCAGCGCCAGGCCACCGTGCCCTTCAGGTGAGCACACTCTACTGTAGGGGCAGCTGACGCTCTACATGCTCGCGCTGCAGCGCCAGGCCACCGTGCCCTTCAGGTGAGCACACTCTACTGTAGGGGCAGCTGACGCTCTACCTGCTCGCGCTGCAGCGCCAGGCCACCGTGCCCTTCAGGTGAGCACACTCTACTGTAGGGGCAGCTGACGCTCTACCTGCTCGCGCTGCAGCGCCAGGCCACCGTGCCCTTCAGGTGAGCACACTCTACTGTAGGGGCAGCTGACGCTCTACCTGCTCGCGCTGCAGCGCCAGGCCACCGTGCCCTTCAGGTGAGCACACTCTACTGTAGGGGCAGCTGACGCTCTACCTGCTCGCGCTGCAGCGCCAGGCCACCGTGCCCTTCAGGTGAGCACACTCTACTGTAGGGGCAGCTGACGCTCTACCTGCTCGCGCTGCAGCGCCAGGCCACCGTGCCCTTCAGGTGAGCACACTCTACTGTAGGGGCAGCTGACGCTCTACCTGCTCGCGCTGCAGCGCCAGGCCACCGTGCCCTTCAGGTGAGCACACTCTACTGTAGGGGCAGCTGACGCTCTACCTGCTCGCGCTGCAGCGCCAGGCCACCGTGCCCTTCAGGTGAGCACACTCTACTGTAGGGGCAGCTGACGCTCTACATGCTCGCGCTGCAGCGCCAGGCCACCGTGCCCTTCAGGTGAGCACACTCTACTGTAGGGGCAGCTGACGCTCTACCTGCTCGCGCTGCAGCGCCAGGCCACCGTGCCCTTCAGGTGAGCACACTCTACTGTAGGGGCAGCTGACGCTCTACCTGCTCGCGCTGCAGCGCCAGGCCACCGTGCCCTTCAGGTGAGCACACTCTACTGTAGGGGCAGCTGACGCTCTACCTGCTCGCGCTGCAGCGCCAGGCCACCGTGCCCTTCAGGTGAGCACACTCTACTGTAGGGGCAGCTGACGCTCTACCTGCTCGCGCTGCAGCGCCAGGCCACCGTGCCCTTCAGGTGAGCACACTCTACTGTAGGGGCAGCTGACGCTCTACCTGCTCGCGCTGCAGCGCCAGGCCACCGTGCCCTTCAGGTGAGCACACTCTACTGTAGGGGCAGCTGACGCTCTACCTGCTCGCGCTGCAGCGCCAGGCCACCGTGCCCTTCAGGTGAGCACACTCTACTGTAGGGGCAGCTGACGCTCTACCTGCTCGCGCTGCAGCGCCAGGCCACCGTGCCCTTCAGGTGAGCACACTCTACTGTAGGGGCAGCTGACGCTCTACCTGCTCGCGCTGCAGCGCCAGGCCACCGTGCCCTTCAGGTGAGCACACTCTACTGTAGGGGCAGCTGACGCTCTACATGCTCGCGCTGCAGCGCCAGGCCACCGTGCCCTTCAGGTGAGCACACTCTACTGTAGGGGCAGCTGACGCTCTACCTGCTCGCGCTGCAGCGCCAGGCCACCGTGCCCTTCAGGTGAGCACACTCTACTGTATTTTTATTTTTTCTCTGTTTGGGATAAATACAGCTAGCATTATTGAAAAACACATAAGGCATAATACATAAGCATCTGATGGCCATTTACAAATATCCGCGATTAGAAAATACACGTGAAACATTAAATTAGAAGTCAGTAAAACAAAGCCAGCACACGCCCTGTTATATACGCATTTGAATATTTTTATATGTTCAAATCTCCATTTAAGATTTAATTAGAGGCATATAGTCCGCTTAACAAATCTCATGTTACCTTTTACAGATGTGTGGACGAGATAAACCAAGGCATGGATCCTATCAACGAACGCAAGATGTTCGAGTTGCTCGTCAAAGTGATCACGGAATGTGACAACTCGCAATACTTCTTATTGACACCGAAGGTTGGTGGCATAATATTTTACATGAAAAGATTTTTTTTTTGTGATTAGTGGTTACGTAGGGGATTTTTTTATTTACGGTATAAAAAAGGGGCAGTCGGCCAGACGGGTCACCTGATAGTAAGTGACTACTGCCGCCCCATGGACTCCTGCAATTCAAGAGACAGGAGTTGGGTCTGGTGACCTCATTCACTAGATGAAACGTAACGAAAGTATTACATATCACCACTGGTTTTCTGTGAGGCTGTGCTATCGCTCCGTTTGGTCCGGATGTCTTAATAACAGCAGTTCCCAGATTCCTCCTATTACAGACGCAGAGTGTCACGGCCCGGGAGGGTTTCCACACGTTAAAAAAAGAACATCGCTCCGGTTGCCAAATTGCTAGCCCATTAATGCCGAAGCACTGCTCTCCCACAATAACTATTGTGTTTTAAACCAAAAAAAATCAAAGTGCATCTATTGCAAAATCAGTTCATCTATCCAAAGCAAAGACTTATAATACTAATTTGTATTGTTCCAGCTCTTAACCAACTTGGAATACAACGACAAAATAATGGTTCACACGATAATGAACGGCCAGAAGATCATGGACAATAAGAAGTGGAACCACATCATGTTCATTGAGAAGGCAAACGTTTACAGAGCGTCCACGAGTTGACAGAGACCCTTCAATTTTGTAAATACAGATGTTGAGTAAATAAGATTTACAAATTGAGAAATCAGAAGGGAACTAAATCCGAATTAAATTGACTTTTTGAAGGTTAATAGGCTATTACTAGTTACTGGTCTTGAAGTGTCACAAGGTCGTGGGTTCGATTTTGACCCAGGACAAAATATATTTATAGGTATTTATAAATATACAAGTATGTTTATCAGCAGTCTGGTTACCGTAGTATGGGCTCAGTCTAGTTTGGTATCAGACGGCCGTGTTTAAGAAGTTATGATGATTATTTTTTTAACATTTTATTACTTACAGATGTAAGATTTCTCATTAAATAAAAAAATCGTGGACTCTAAAACTCTTTACGAGTAAATAGAAATATCTTGTAAATTCGATATCAATGTTTTTTTAAATGCGAACTTTGATCAGATATTTGAAACTAGATTACATTCAACATAATTATGATTAAAATATAGGTATTTTACTGGTTCGTTAAATCGACACTCTAAATTAATGTTGTTATGGAATAGTAGGTCAGAAATTCTAAAGGTTTAAAAATATCTTTCATAAATGTTTACCTATTTATCAAAACATAGCTCTCTGTAGTCTCCTGATGTGATAAGTACAATTAACAATAATAATACAGTAGTTTAACTCTGGCTTCAGTATTTAGTTTGCAATAGTTATATAATAATATAACAGTTTATTTTATATTGTAATAAACAAATTTTAGTTATACTTTATGCATTTATCTTGTATGTACTGTGATTTATCCCGCACATAAATTAATTTTGAGAATGTTAATTCAAAAAAACCTCTTCAGAAATTTGTTTAAAATAAGACCTAAACACATTTCATTTAATATAAATTCTGAAGTCAATGTTTTGTCACGTGGGTTACCAAACGTATCAAAAATACTGGAAGTTCGTGATGGAGAAACAGAAATGTTTATAACTTATTTTTCTATTTGTATAAATGTAGCAATTTGCAATTGTTATGTATACATTTTATATATATTTTCATAAAATCGTTTAAAAATATTGATGTCAATGTCATTGCAGTAAGAGGATGCTTTTCAATATTTGAATTATTCTATAGCATTATGTGTAACATACGTTGCATATGCATTCTCATGTACATTAAAGTAATTGATGGTACACGTTATCCTAATACACGGAAAGTACATATGCATTTTATTTAATACGGGTATTTTCTTTTATAAAAATACGTAGCATTTAAAAATAGCGATCCCGTTTACTAGTTATACTTATCAGCATTTAATATTTATCTTGATATATCTATACCAAACGGCTATTGATGTGATACCGGAATGTCTAGGCTAGGTTAGGTTAAGCAGCTGGGGTTGAACCCTACACAGCACTAATTATGTAAACCCACACCTCATAACTCCCGCTACAAACTTCTGTAATTGCACCCTATCGAAAAAAAAAAACGAAAATAGTATGATACGTCTACAGGACAAGGGTCTGCATTCGGTGTCTAGGCACCCTTCCAGTCATGGCACTACCTAACAATACCCTTTGCCTTAGTTTGAGGGGTTGTACAAGAGTACCATGTTACTAGTATGCTTTTAAATTCCAGTACTTTTAAAATAACATAGATACTTCTTATTATGTCAAACAATAGTGTATGTTACGTTGCTTGGAATTACCGCACTAAGACTCTTAATTAATAATTTCAGTGGTGGGTAGTTGTGCAAAATACAAATTTAATACAAACTTAAATGTATACGATAACCTGTAAGCGACATCTGTAATCATAATATACTAACTAACGTACTAGGCCAAATAGCTCAGTTTTAAGCCTATCTACCTATCTCTTGACAGTTCTCGTACAAATTCTCCCTTCAAAAATTATTTTCAGGTCACAATGTATGTAAAGTACAGAACAACCAAATATGTACATAAGTATGATAATTTACATTATATTCTAGTGGAACTTGATTGAATCTTTTTAATTTAGTTAATAAAGTTATGTATAAGTATGATTATTATTAATGTGATATGGTTAAAAACCTATTTTCTTATTTGTTCTGTGTATTGTGTTACGCTCTATAACGATGGAAATATTGCGGAAAAAAAAAAGATTTATAAAAGTTCTCCCAGCTATTGAAAACCGACGGTCGTTATAAAAATTTCGATATAGTAGCGGCTCCATTGCAAATTATAACATTTAAAATTCAATATGAATGCCTTTTAATTTGACAGTAATTGTAATAATTGTTTCTATCTATAATTTTATTGATAAATGAACTTTTTTTGACAATATACATTTATAAGTGTTTGTCTTACTTCGTATTTGTCGTTTTGTGGAAACATGCAGTTCTCACAATATTAAATGATTAAAAATTAAAGGTCACTTCGATTAAATGTTTATAGTTAATAATTGTTTATAGAGCATGTTAGTTTTCGGTTTATGTAGAACATCTTTCATCTCCCTTTCTTGCAATTTGTAACAGTGATTTGTTGAAAAGGGACGGAAGTGTGTAACAGATGTCGGATGTTACACATATTCAACTGAAATAGGGCTTGCTCGTTTTTTTCTTTAATTTTTTAATGTGGTAATTGTGATTGAGTATATTATTGTTAGATATTGATGTTTATGTCTTCAAAAAATACTTTTAATTATTTCTAAATGAAACGTCAATTTAAATAATAATGGATTTAATATTATTAGTCCAGTGATTGTTACTTAATAATTTCATGTGGTTTTACAATAAACAATTTTTATTAATTAGATCATTATTTAAAGCACCTTTTTATATCACCGCTTACAGAACAACACCGCCCAAATCAATTTGATTCATTTTACAGGGGACTGAAAAAACTACTTAAATTTAAAAAGTTAATAACTTAGTTTTAGTTAGATTTTCTATTTATGGACCACTGTACGTACACAAGTACTGTTGTAATCGTGGTAAAACAGAAATTTAAACCGTAAATTTTCGACTTGGTGGGTATTGTTCGATAAGCGACGATAATATATAAAGTAAATAAATGTACAATACTCTATATGTACGTTGTTCGAGTATCTATTTGCATTTGTTTATTTCCAATCGATACGATTTTTTTTTCTATTTAGATCAGACCAATTGTGCATGGGCAAAGAAAATCATGCCGTCAAATTACAATTGTAGGTTTTAAAAAGAAACCACTACTTATTTTAATACTACCAAAAGCCTTATTTTTAATATTAGAAACTTTCAATAATGAAATCTAAAAAGAGAATATTTTTTTAGCTGAAAGCAAACAAAATGCTCTGCTCAAGTAAAATTATTGTAGATCTAGTTTTTATTCTCCATAATTGCGTCGTTAATAACTCCTTTAATGTTACAATCTAATTATTGTCTATATGACAACAGTTTTTAATTACTTAATTTACAAAAAAATTAATAAACAAATTTGACTGCACGGATGGCGTAGTGGTTTAAGCGGTCGCCGCGCCACTTACTACTATGCTGAGTGTTGTGGGTCCGATCCCCACATGGGACAACACTTTGTGTGATCCACAAATTGTTGTTCTGAGTCTGGGTGTTCTTTGTGTCCGTTTCATGTATGTTTGTAAAGTCGTAGAATATATTCATAATGCGGGAGCTGTCTTTAAAAAAAGATAAAAACACATACATTTGAATCCCATCAGGCACAGAATGAAACTGCTTTTTCAAACATCATTTACATTTTATATCAATTTAATCATTTCCAATACATAGTACATGTATTTGATAAGTGCAAAATCAAAACTCTAAGTAGTTGCCATTGTTGTTAGCAGGCTCTTCCCAAGGCTCAGCATACTCTGTTATATAAAAATTGTTAGGGTGAGGTAAGTTACAGAACCTAATAAATTTTAACTTAGGCAGATAAATTAAATATTGGTGTTAATTCTGTTGTTAGAAAACTCTCTAAACTAAACTAAAAATTAGTTTATCCTGTCAAGTTTTACGTTTCAAAATACGAAACGTTATTCGACAGGACTAAACTAATTTTTATTGTAGTTTAGAGTTTTTGAACAACAGAATTAACATTTTTAGTGTAGTTTAGAGAGTTTTCGAACAACAGAATTAGCATTTTTAGTGTAGTTTAGAGAGTTTTCGAACAACAGAATTAGCATTTTTAGTGTAGTTTAGAGAGTTTTCGAACAACAGAATTAGCATTTTTAGTGTAGTTTAGAGAGTTTTCGAACAACAGAATTAGCATTTTTAGTGTAGTTTAGAGTTTTCAAACAACAAAATTAGCATCATTGTGTGACTAGTTTTAAGATGAGCTTTGAAGTCAATTGTACTGGTTAAAGAGTGGGTTTACCTAGACCATAAAGCTAACTACTGTTTGATGCAAATCTCTTTTGGGTAAGTCCTGAATCATTAAATCTGTGAATTAAATTATAGGGATATATATTCTTTGCCTACTTATTAGTTTCGTAAAAATAGTACTGAAGGCCAAGTCTCGTAATAAAAGACAGGTCAAAATTCAGATCCGATCAACTCTCGATCTCGTAACTGTCGTAAAAGATATTTTCGTAGTAAAATAGTAAATTATTACTAAGACTAACAGATTAACTATACAATTTCCAGCTCTAATACGATTTAATTCACAAAACAGTCAACCTTTACCACGAAAATACCTTTCATGATGAATGAATGAATTGTAACCGAACTTTTATTACGAGAATTTGCGTTCTGGTCATTAGTGATACTTTATTTTTTATAATAGTGTTAGTAAGTATTTAATTAAATAGATCACTACGCTCAATGTGAACTAATAATAAATGTTCTCAGTTATTACATCCGGATATAGTCCATTGTTCCAAATTTTCATATTTTTCGTAAGGTTATCCAATGTAATATTGAAAAACATTAATATTTTGGAATGACAAAATTGTGCCCGCTTCTGTAAACTAGTTACACTTAGGGTAGGCTGGGATGCTACTTAACGCTTAATATATTGTTACTAGAATGTCACATATTGTTATTTTTTTTAGTAAAATTAGTATAATTACTTTTTTTTAGCAAGAAATGCAGTATATTTTTTATTGATGCAGATGTTTAGCTGGTTAACTGTTACTCAGCGAATGAATAAAAGTAAAGGAGTGTTGTTAACATAAAATAAACTCGTGTGACCGATATGCAAACTGCGACCTCCAATGGAGTCTTCAGTGCTAATGCTCACATAGAGCGAACCGTCCTGTGTCGGTGTATCGAGTGGCGTTGTATGATCACTGGTCCAAGTGCACACCTCGGCCCGTCCACTGCTCGTCGAGCGTGACGTCACAGCCCAGGTCCCGCAGCGCCGACTTGATGTCGAAGCCGAAGTCGTCGCCGAACTTGGCGAACGAACTGTTGAGCAGCGCCTCCGCCCCCAGCTCGTGGAACTTGGCGTTGTGCTCGCGACACCTGGCCACCATGTTGCGGATGGCCCAGCACGCGTTTTTCTGATATATACATATACACATTTATATTTAAGTAATATTCGATATATTCAATATTTTAGGGTTGTATATACAGACAGGGAAATAATAGTTGGGACAGATAGCTGACGGAGCGGGACATGACCGGTATAATGCAATGTACTTATACAGTTAATATAAAAGACTAGCTTTTGTTCGCAGCTCCGCCCCCGCTTTTCCCGGGGACTTAAATTATCTCTTGCCTAATTTTATCTAAATCGGTTCAGCAGTTTCAGAAGAAGTATCACATATGGATGTCACTATCAGCGCTTGTCTCTTACTTTCAACCACAAACCGGCTGCATGGCCGCCCTACGTTGTCTGCCATAATTTTATTTTTGATTATTTTTTTTCAGAAATTTAGCGTACACAGATTTAATACAAAAATAAATTTAATACAAACTTATTCTGAAACTAACGATATTTCTTTATTAAAAAAAAATCGTTAAAGACGAACAGAAACATTAAACCCATCTCGTATAATTCTGACGCACTAAACGACTATACACAGACCAAATCTATAACTCTTTTTAGATTTTAGATGGAGATAACTCTCTTTGAGAGAAAATGTTAACAAACCTGTACAGCAGCATTATCCGGATGCACCTTCATACACTCTACGATTACTTCGGGAGCGCCGCTGTCCAGGAACTGCTTGCTGTGCGCCGGCTCACGGAGACTCAGAGCTGCGATACATTTTAGCGTCAACGCTGTGGCTATTGCGTTGCTCTAAAATAAAAATAAAAGGTTAACCTTTTATTTAAATTAACACATAAGTAGTTTTATTTCCTTGGTGAGTACAGGTCAACATTCCTAGTCAGAGGTCCTCGAGGAATTGTCAAAGATATAAGTAACCAGTGGTCATTTCTGCCAATATCCATGATATGCTTCTACAGCCCCCCTCTTCCCCAGGGTCTGCGCCACATTCTTTTTGCACTGCTGGCACTCTTCTTGTTAGGGCACTGTAAGTAACCTAGCGTAAATATGGTACGGGTATCACAGTATTAACAAACAAATATCCCATCTTTTTTTTAATATGGGATATTTATGGTTGAACAATTTAAGGATTTATTTTGAGAGTTAGCGAATACTTAAAATTAATTATAAACTTTAACAGTCAATTTTCAAGTTCAATTTGTCAGTTTCAAAATTAGATTTTTGTAAAAAAAATTGTGAATATACCGGCAATTATTCGCTTTACTATTTCTACTACACAAACTAAAACATAAACATCTCAACTAAAACAGGGGGGCAGAAGCTCAAATAATGAGAGCTCATTTGGGCAAGTGTTCTTAGAACAAAACGAGCTGCGTAGCTCAATGAGAACCGGAGAAAATCATCATACGGAGAAAAAACACAGGAATGGTTCAAGAGGATATCATATTATTTTAAGTAAAGCGTAAAGTTTTATGTCAAATCTATACGAGGCAATAATGCTCATACAGCTATTTTAGTGATATATATATTTTATTATTAGCTATATTTGGCGTAGTGGTTTAAGCGATCGCCATGCGCTCACTACTACGCTGAGTGTTGTGGATGCGATTCCCACACGGGACTTTGTGTGATCCACAAATTTTAATTCTGAGTCTGGGTGTTCTTTGTGTCCATTTCATGTATGTTTATAAAATCCATCGCGACACAGGATATATTCCTAATGCGGAAGTTGTCTTTTTTAAATTCAGAAATAAATAAATAAGTTTCATTTTGTACAGTATTACCTAATTATTTTATTCAGTCGTAACAACAATTCAAGTGTAAATATTTTATAACGACTCAGATAACTGAAATAAAGCTTGACTTGTTGTTGTTGAAAATTGTTGTTACGACTGAATATTCACAAATGAAATTTACTTAATATTAGTTTGGTGTGAACTATTTACCAACAACCACGACTACCGATTACCGTGGTACCGTTAACGATGAGTAAACCCCAACGATATCTAATGGTTGATTTCAAAATTCAATAATAAAAAAATAATTAGGGAAACAGTCACATACAAATAGGCATAAAATATCAAACGTAATAAATAAAAAATATTTATATTTAACAAAAAACTATCAAAAAAGTAAATAAAAATAAAAGTAAATCAAAGTAAAAAAGAGAAAAAAAGCAAAACAGTACCGGACACAGAACGTGCCTCCAGAGAGATTTGAACTCTCGACCCCTGGTTTACAAGACCAGTGCTCTAACCCCTGAGCTATGGAGGCTACGAATTTTAGATTGAATTACATATTCACTTCAGAACCGACTTGTATTCATGTATAGTTTTAGTTTTTAAATAAATAAGTATATTTAATCCTAATTTTTTAAAGTTTTACTTTAAAAAAGTATCATCGAAGTAAATGTGTCTACACCACGACATGTTGTTAACGACTGTATTCTTTATTATCTTCCATTAAGGGTGATAACTGTCTTCAGATTTGAATAATGGGACGAAAGGGGAACTAAATACAAATAAAAAAAGAATTATCGAAATCTGTTCGAAAAATATAACTGATATAAGTACATCCTATTTTTTTTTATAGGCGGTTAAAAACGGAAAAAATTGCGGAAAAAACGGAACTCTCTTTGTCTGTTCGGTTTTAAGACCTTTTATTTCGGATATGGAGTTAAAATTAAAACCATATACTCAGGTCCACAGTTCCTTGATGCTGTGAAAAAATCAAACTTCTAAGGTAACGTTAAAAGCAGGTATCTGTCCCATTGACATAGAACTATGAAATTTGGCAAGTAACATCGTCTTATACTGTAAGTACAGGGAAAAATCTGAGCACTACATCTATACAAATAAATAAAATTGGAGTGTCTGTTTGTAATATTAAAATAACCGCTTTTTACTAAATGCATATGTATGTTTACACGGTACGTATGCCAAAATACTTTTTTTTACAATTTTTGTCTGTCTGTTTGTTCCGGGTAATCTCTGGAACGGCTGGACCGATTTCGACGGGATTTTCATTGGCAGATAGCTGATGACATAAGGAGTAACTTAGGCTACATTTTTTAGACTAGCTTCGCCCCACGGAGTTGCCTACGGTTAGAACAACAAACGCAGGTAACGCCGCGGGTCTCAGCTAGTTTGTATTAAAATTAAAAGAAAAATGACTGTTTAAAGTACATAATCAAGCATCAAGGTACAATTTCACTTATAAAACACAATAATATAAGTAATTATAGGTTTTGGAAACTGAATTTGAAAAAATACTATTCTCGATTCCTGAACTATTTATAATACCTATGTATCTACCTACAAATGTGTACGGAACCCTCGGACAACTTTAATCGAGAGCAAAAAAATAAAATTTAATTTAAAAAAAAAATCGGACTCGCCCAGCCTGACTCGCAATTGTCCGATTTTTATTTAAATTAAATTTTCTTTTTTTGCTCTCGATTAAAGTTAATATTTCAACTTTATATACCAACTGTTTGTGTTCTTAAGTCTCAAATACTTGAAAGAAACGTTTTATTTTAGTGAGGGGGAGGCAGAAGAAGAGAAGAATATTTTTTTTACCCTACAGTCTCACTATAGCAAAAAATGAATACCAACTTACAGAATGTCTACTCAGTACCGACACTATCACTGGAACAATGCCACTCTTCACTAAATCCCTTTTGACATCATCATTGCCTGCCAGAGCTGTTATCCTGAAAACAGTACACATGACATAATAAATATTTATTTATCTATAATATGTGTGTATTTAGAAATATATAAGTATGTTTATCAGCGGTCTGGTTATCGTAGTACAGGCTCTGCCTAGTTTGGGGTCAGACGGCCGTGTGTGAGATGTGTGAAGTTATTATTATTATTATGTAGCCAGTTTATGCCCCTGTCCTAGTGGTCTCTCTGTCTTGTTTCTCCATCCTAAACTGCGTATCTGTTTTTTAGTGTGGAAACCCCTTCGGGTGGGCTTGCAGTAGGCGATGAGTTGTAATCGTACCGACTAAAACCACACGGTGTGCCGTACTGTGACTAAAATGAGATATCCGGGAACAGCTGCCTTTTGAGTTCTTTCCCTCAGGACTAGGGAGAGGGGGGTTCGGGCTCACACCGCTAACCTCACTCATGCGATGAAGAGCAATGAAGAAACTGCTTAACATTGGTTTTTTTGTGAGGCCGTCGTATCACTCCGGTCGAACTGAGCCATATGCGCCGAGCATGGTTCTATCATTTGTTCTGTGTTGGTGAAATTTTTATATATTACTAACTGCCCAGGCTAACTTCGTACCGCCTTAGAATGAATAAATTAGGTGACAAATTCTGTGGCATACCGGGTCCAATTGTGTTTTCAAACCATCCAGGAACCCATTGAAATATACACACAAAATTTCACACACAAATCCGTCCACACTTATAGAAGAATTATACGTAAGATGTATAAATGTATTTCTTTTTTACAAAAAAACGTTTAACGTATCTCTCGTGTCTGCCTTTACTAAGCAAATATTCTGCCATATATCTAATTTTACGCAATAAAGATAATTTCTGGTAGTTTATCAGTTACAGAAACAATAACTATAAATCTCATTCACAATGACGTTCTCGCAAACTAAAATTTATGACTTCACATCACGAAGCTACTCCATAAGGTAACCAACGTATGTGTATTTATCGATTACAATGTTCCCGAAGGAATATGGGTCGTATCTAAGGCGACTGTTGCTCGTGATGACAACGCCATGTTTATTCAATAAATCGCATATAATATAAGGGCTGTTGTATTTGTAAACAGTTCATTTGTACGTTGGTAAGAAAACTTGGTGGTTGTTTGCTGGTAGAAGTAAAACAAAGCGACGTTCAGTGGACGAATTGGAAGGGTTAATTTGGTAAATATATTTTTTTATAGTATTTAATTTGTAATTTTTTATAGTATTTAATTTGTAATTTTTTTATAGTATTCACTAGTACCTGCGATCGGTTTTAGTCGCGTGAGGAATATAAGGATACTATACTAGGTTTATTGGCAGTTTAATTTTTATTTTAAGTATGATAACGGTGTTCGCACTTTGTTAGCATTTTTGTTAACCCTTTTATCGAATCTGGAACTATTCGATCACAACGCAAAGTTTTTAGGCATTTCGTTAATGTCGTTTTTTTTAAAGAAATATCTTTTATGTGCACTTGGGGTTCGTTGTTGTATACTTAGTCGTATTGTGCGGAGCTGTCTGCTAAGTTATTGGGGTGTGCGGGCCGTGTTATCACGCTATAGAAAGCACTAAATAGAGAACAATGTAACACTTGAATTACACGTCTCACTTGCATACGAGGTATGAGTATGGTATGGTATGTGTGTTTGTCTTTTCTTACAAGTATACGTATGCATACTTATACTCTAAATGTGAAAGTGGTAAACCACTAAACCGATTTAAAAAATATATTTCACCAATGTAAAGTTGTAACTTTACATTGGTGAAATATATTTTTTAAATCGGTAATGGATATCGGATAATGTATTATCAGAGATTAACAAAGGCTACGTTTTAACACCATAACCGACATACAGGGCGGAGCCGCGTGCAAAAGATAGTATTACATAAATCATAAAATCTGAGTACAGTAGTCAAGTAAAGACAAGTCGAGAATTTAAAGAACTGAGCGGTTTAAACGTACGGGTTTAAAGATATGTCATATAAGTTACATATTTTTATTTCCTTACACCATTTATACTTATCTATTGGTAGACATTTAGTACATGTTATATTTTTTCATAAGAAATATTTTTTTGTTTTACCAAATAAAAATGGTAACGTTTTATTGAACCGAATGACGGGATGAAATGTTTCTACTGTTTCAAATGAGTATAAATATTCTATCCTCTATAATATTGTGAATGGTTATAATATTTACATTTACATTTTAAATAAACATTTGCATATTCTAAATTTAAACAAACTTTAAACTTAGAGTAATGAAGGAATTAAAGACGATACAAAATAGATTTGTCACTTGAATCTATAAAATCTTCCTCTTAAATAAATCGATTGTTATTTTTAATCGAATCGCATACGTGTTAAGTTATCCTAATTGACAACTAACTATCGAAAAGAAAATAAATGAGTGGACAGAGTTTACTTATAAAAAATTATTTCAGGAATATTTGAAACGTAATAACGTAAGAGACATTATACTACGTGATTAAATAAGGAATAAAAATGTCTGCCAAAAGGACTACGGCAGAAAGTGGTGATTATCTTTCATTCGGTGATCGAAACTTCGCCTTATCGACGATCAGAGTGTGGGACGAACACAACCAAAAAGTACTTAAAGGTGACATCATTCGTACAACCGACAAAAACACAGCCATAACTAAGAACGGTATTATCAAAGTGAACCAAACATCTTGTGAGGACTTCAGCGATAGTACCGACCAACTAAAGCATCGAGCTAGACACATCAATTACTGGAAATCTGAACTAGAGAGAGCTATACGAGATATGGACGCTGAAATTAATGTCACGGAGGCATTAAGACAGCAACTTAAAAATGCAATTGACACACTGAAAATCCCAGAGTACATTACAGAGGAATGTTTAGATATGAGAAAGTTGAGAATGCAGTCTGATCTGATCTATGATGAGCCTCAAGAAGATCTATTTACTGAATGTGCTTTGATTGAAAATGTGAAGAAACTACACAGAGAGTTATTGAGGGAGATAGAATACCAATTAGAAAGGAATATAGCGTCAAAGAATTGGTTGGAGCGTGATTGGAGCGATAAGTATTTAGCGTTCAAATACGAAACTGATAATGTTGAATTGGAAACTAAATCTATGCATGTCAAGGATTCAGCGGGTGCTACCAGACTTTCTGAAGGTATGTTTTTGACAGTGACATTATCACTAATAGCCCGAATTAGTGTAAAAAAAAACTGTCTGTTTAAGTGGGTCTCTAAATGGTCAAGGTTGATGATTGGACCCGGTAGTTGTAGCTGTAACTGGACCCAATAATTTATACTTGACTGGTTTTTGTTATTTGTTTTACTGTCATCTACTGACTTAAAAAAAACCTTACGTTCGGACAGAACAACAGAGCAAATTAGATCCGCTAGTTTTATAAATATAACCATGACGTAAACTTAAGGCAAACTCAAGTTGTTCCTAATCCCAGTTTGCCACTAATATTCTTTGGTCGTTTTCATGAGGTGCCGTTCCTGTTCCAATCCATTCTCTGTACTAGAACTTTCTCATCAATTGTATATGTACAAAAATGAGCAAAATTTATACAATTCTTCCAAATTATATATATAACAACCCCGCAATTCAATAATTTTTAAACAGTTCCTTTAGACTTCGCTTAAACTGTTTTTTATTATCTCTAGGACAGTCCAACGTATCATCTTGGGAGCAACACACCATCAACGCTTTGAGCGATTTTAAAACCGCCATCGACAAGTCCAAAGCCCTACGGGCTAAGGTCGACGCCGTTCTTATCAACACATCGCGAGATCTTCGCTCCCAGGACATCAAAGTGAACAAAACACTGAGCGAGAGAATTGCAAGAACGGAGGAAGTCAAAACTGATTTGGAGAACCAGCTAAAACTGACACTGCAAAAGATTGTCGAAACTGAGAACATTCTGGAAATATTACACGAAGAGATGTTGAAGGTCTCACAGAGAATACAAGTAGCTCAGACGAGATTGAACACAAAGAATTGCAGACCCAACGTCGAGAACTGCAGAGAAGGTTCTTTGATTGCGCTGATTGAAGAAGTAAGAGATTTGAATGATAGTATGAGCTTGTTGCAAAAGAGATCTTTGGAGACGGAGAAATTGAGAGCTGAATTGATTCACGAGAGGTCTATATTAGAGAATGAGATTATTGTGAAGAAGAAGACACTATTCCTTGATAACCAGAGGTGTTTGTTTTTGAGGTCGCATTATCAGTCGGCGGAGAAGATGTGTGGGTTTTAAAAAATATGTGCGATCATAAGTTAAGCTTATAGAGAAAATTTGAATCACCTCATGTTTGTATTTGTATTGTATACACGGTCACTTTAATTTAATTTTCACTAATGTCACGAATGACAAAATAAAGTGAACTAAAATATTTTATGGTTCTTTTTACATTTTCACTAAGTATAGAATATATTTTTCCACTTAAAATTTTCATTAAAAAAATATTTGTGTTATATTTGAACACAGTTGAGTTTGTAAAAAATAACATTTGAAAATCTTAATATATGAAACAAAGACCGGTTAGTTACACTATTGCACATCCTTAACATTGATACCGCTCGAAGGACCACGTGTTAACGTGTGTTATACAAATAGGAGCAATCTGCAGAAAAATATGTCTATACGGTCTGGCTCGAAAGACCAGTGAACTTGAACGTAAATGTAAACTGAGAGAAACGGCTAGTGTTAATATAAAACTTAACAAATCACATTTTGTGGTAACATTCAGACTGTATTTCGATTGGGTTAAAAGTTCACAAATCGTTTGTTCGTGACACAAAACTTTTTCCGTTGGACCATTTTCCAATGAGACAGAGTAAATATAATATCAATTCATAATGATTTTATAATAAATGAAGTGCACTTACAATTTATTAGCCTGTTGTACAACAGCCACGTTGTCGTAGTTGTCGGCGAGCGCCGTGAAGATGGAACCGACCCCGCTGTCAGCCACCATCTTGCACAGCTCGTGGCGCACCAGCAACGTGGCGATGGTCAGCATCAGCTCCGACACTAGGGGGGGTTTGGTGTGCTCTGTAGATCAGGAAATCTATATATTAAAATAATATAAAAAACGCGAATATACACTAATACTGTTCATCATCATCATCACCATTTTCCTACCTTTTTCTCAACTTTATTTGGAGTCGGTAAATTTATAATACTGCCAAAGGTGTTTTGCTAGTTTCTCTTGGGGCCAGCCTGCTTGCCTGTTGTCAACCCTTCTTGGGAACGTAATCGCTTTAAGACATGACGACAGAAGAAGTTAAATGGAGAGCGAGGGAGTTAGGATAAGAGATACAGCAAGTTTTAGATGGGGCAACGGAACTATGATTGAAAAAGCTCAAATGAATTGGAATCCGTTAAAACCTAAGCTAAAAACACTTGTGTAAAAATGAAATCAAAGAAATGTAAGTAGAAGAGTAGACCTTTCAAAAGGTTGGTGAGGGGGTCGAGCATCTGCGCGCCGAGCTCTCGCGCGTGTTCGTGCGCTTTGCCGAACTCCATGCGCACGTCGTCGTCCAGCGTCATCTTGCGGACCACATGCAGCGTCTCGCTCAGTAGCTGGAACAACGAACACCATTTTTGTAAATCATTACTAAATTTATACCCAATTATTAAGAACTATAATCACACACCACGAAGGGGCAGGTCAAATATATAGAATTAGCTAACCCACCCCGACTTCGAAGGGTGCAATGTAGATACAAATGAAGTCTCAGTATGGAGTAGCTAATTATATTATTATGAATATATTATACTACAGGATATCTTTATAAGTATATACATTATTTAAAAGCACTGCTCGCGCCTGCCGGCCGATACCACCCGGGATGGCCGCTCTGGTCCGCCTTTTAAATCTCTGATATTTTCTATAATATTCGTTTAATGATATGCTGTAAACGGTAATTTTGATCTACACTAAATACACAACGTATCTAACGTATTTAATTGGATAAATAAATATACTATATTCTTTAAAATAGCTTCGTAAATAAACTTTTTTTTTTTTGTAATAGTTTAAATGATAAAAATAGTTATTGTGGGTTATCCTTAGGAGACAGACCTATACCATCGCGGACTTTTTTGTAGTTTTTTTAAGATAAACACTGCCATAATACATTATTTTGATCTATCTCTAAGGTTTAGACAACGTTCGCACACATGTAGACGCACAAAAACGTGTTTTTTAAGACATCACATTACAAATCTTGGAAATTCTCAGATTTTTGTACTATAATATACATGTATTATAAATATAAACCTGCCTCTTGAATTACTATCTCTATTGATTGGTTGACTTGTGTGTAAGGTCTAATTACAGTAGTAAACTTACTCTTAACCCTAGCTTACTCCGAAGTATGAAAACTTGAGTACTTCGAAAAACGTGAATTCGTGTATGTTACAATACAGTAAAGAAAACGCAGTAAAAAATAAGAACGTAACAGTGTGATAGTTCTATAGTAGCTAAAATACTTACTTTCTCATTACCGCAAACGTTGAGCAGCAGTTTTAAATTTTCAGCAATATTCTTAGCAAAGAGTTTCTGTCTGTTCATTTCATGTTTGATACAGCATGCTGTGGTCCATTGCAGAGTTGATATTAAAATATCGTCATTCTCTACGTTGTCTAGAATACTGAAAGGAGAGTAATTATTTTTAAAGATTTTGACCACTTCTTTGCTTAAATAAATGTACTACAGTTTTTTGTTTATAGAAGACATCTGTATGGTGCAACGCCCGTACAAGCTGCGTCAGCAAAATTGTATACAGCGCGAATCAGTTTGCGATCTTACCGAATCGGGTAAAGACTCAGGCTCCACACAAACGTGCTCCATGGTCATAGTGTGTCTCATATTATTATAATTTTTATTCTATGTTACTATCTTTTATTTGTTGACCTCATTGCAAGGCTAACAACATATTTCCTTAAATTTCTTGATAATTGGCTTCTCGCCTTACTGGGTTACGACATGAAAGCGAAACAGACAAACAAACATACATAATGTTAGTTCGGAAGTTAAGATTCTTTTGGCTTGTAGTGGTATTTATTTTTATATCAAACCTTTACTATTTAAACTATATGAGTTGTCTAGACCCAAACTATTTGTAGATTATTACATGGGATCTATAATATGGATTCATTATTTTGAAAAATATTTATCTACAATAAATAAAAACATGCAGAGCAAAGAAATTTTTTGGACTGTTTTGGGGATTGAACCTGTTACCTTTACTGTACTTGTATACTTATAATTCCACTTACTTTTTAATTAATTCCACACCTCTATCATCTAACAAATCAGGCTGCAATTCCATAAGAGCTGTCAAAGTGTCAAGCGCGGCTACTATTAGCTTCACATCTCTATCACTGAGTTGTAGAAGCAGTTGTTTGCTAAAGAGTAGATCTACCAGAACCTTGTATGCTCCATCTTTACCTGCCCTTATTCTATAAGCTATATCCTTGCTGCATTCTGCCTGGAAACCGAAATATTGGTATTGGTATTTGTTGTGGGCTCCAGTTTCCACATTTAGACTCAAGAGTGGTCCTTTATGCATGCAGGAACAATTTATAAAACGGAGCTAAGCTACCGAGTTAACAAAAACCGGGTAAGGTTCAGGATGGCAACCGTGCCGGACGGATAAACCGGACGTGCGCCGCAAGTCCGTTGTCCAGCGATCAGCGATCGTCCGCAGCGCACATTACTAGAGGCTCTGCCTGGTTAACGACCGTGTGACGTCACGGGCTGTAGACCTTCTAACGAACCCTAGTGATCTCAATACAGTAGTAACATCACACTATTGAATACACTTCCGAAAAAAGTGTATTCTTTAGGATCACTAAACCAAAATATTATTATCTTTTCAAAAAATAACAAGTGATTTACATTAAATTTGTTACAGATAGCAAAACGCTAATTAATGTTTGTGTGACGGCTTCCACATAGAGTGAAACAAAAACATACTTCAGTGGAATATAAGGAAGACCCACCAAATATATAATTATAGTAAGTAAAAGTAAAAAAAATACTTTAAACAGTTTTAATTAACAATTAGCTGTTACTAATGACTTCACTGCTAAAAATTGTATATTTTGGCTATTGTATTTATTTTGATTTATTATATAAAGAACGGTTTCTAATTTACAATTAAATTGAAACTGGATGGAATAAAATTTAACTAACCCTTTTTAAAGTCTCTTTAGAAACTTTGGAAAATGTTGTCCCTTCTAGTCCTAAATTCTTGAAGTATTCCTAGTGACTAGATCTTTTTAGTTTGATGAAAGGCTCTATGCATGCATGCATGTGATAATATTTTCATAATAAGCTCACCTTCAGCACATCCAATTCTTTAACCACCTGATTGACATGATGTTTTTTAAATGAACACAAATTTTTGAGATTGGCAACAGTTTCCGATACCAAATGATTGCCTCCACTTGAAAGTGCCAAGTCCTTTATTATGTTTGTTAGATCTACACCCTGAAAACATAAGTAACAGTACAGCTTCAGACAGATCACACACAAAAACAAGTAAATAATTATATTCCAACCAATACCATAACCATATTAAAAGTATATTATTATATTAAGACGATTCAAGTGCATCAGTACTCTTACAGCCATTATATTTGGGATGTCACAGAATATATCGACACCCCAACCTACACCCAATACATACAATTGCTCTAACAGATCTAAAACAAACAGCTAAATAGATTTGAACAGAATGTGCAAGTGTTCTCAATTAAATCTTAAATTAAATTCTGATAAAAATGTTACAAAATTAAAATCATTACAAGTAATGCAGTTTTTTTTTAACGAAAATCCAGTGACAATTGTTTTTGATCAGTAACGATGTGGGCTGACAACTTGTCTTCAACTGTATAACTACGCAGAAACAACGATTAATTTGCACGTAGGGTTTAATTAGAGGCATGAGAATGCCTTGAACAGAACATATACACAGGTAGATATAAAAACATGACTAATGTTCTATGGAGTACGGAGAATTTTGGACTAAGCATTACTGATGATGTATGTGAGGGGTACCTGTGCTTCAAATTGGGCAACAGCCTCTTTCACAGCTTCTTCAGGGCTCATATCAAACTCTTCCATGTTCTCCTTAACAACTTCGTCATATGTCTCCTGAGTTATTACACGAACCATTTTTGTAGTATATTTGAACTTTATATAAATAAACTCTTAAATATTTCGGTACTTGATTAAAAAAAATGAAATAGTAACACACAAGGTGAACGCTTTGTTTGCCGCTTGCGAATGATGTCAACATGTCAAACAATGTTGACAGCTTGTCTGTCAAACTTATCCATGTCAAAACAAATGAAGTTTCTTCTGAACGGGTGTCACATAGAGATTAAACCTAGAGGGAACAAGAACCCCAATCTTTACAATTTAGGCAACGAGGGAGATGGATAATTAATAGATAGTCCCCTCTAGGCTCTATCTCTATATGTCTATGCCTTTATGAATATGGTTAATAAGTAGCCAATCGTAGCTTAGCTAAATAGAGACCCAGGGAAATATTGGGCATCCATCTCTCTTGTTGCCTGGATCGCTTCTACTTATAGGCAGCTGTACCCCATGTTCTCTCTATGGTTATTTCTCTAGATGCAATCATTTTTTTGAAACGAAGTTCCTTATCGCGCGTTACACGTTCTGAGCGGATCCCATCCGAAACAGAAAAATGTGTAACAACGTTTTTCTTGGGAAAAGTCTACCAAAAAGCGAAAGGAACTTCGTTTCGACCGGGGGTCTCTAGACCGCTCACTTGGTTTTTGTCTGACAGTTATTACACGTTTATTTTTTGTTTGTAAATCTCATTGACTATTTTCACAGTCTAGTACACAGTGTCTAATCATTATTTAAGCCAATATACATTTTTTCCTTAAGCTACTGTAGCACCCCCAATTTAAAGCATTTTGACGGGCACTTTTATACACAGAGATGGTTCTCCTTGTCTGCTATTTTGCTATTGTTTTATTTAATGGCATTGAACTATGCCACAATTTTAATATACAGTCCAGTTAAAATTTCATTTCCCACATTTTAGTGGGGATTGTAGGAGATTGACGGGCTCGTGGCGAAATGGTTACCTAGTAGGTTAACACATCGCAAAATTGTGCAGTCCTAACCAGGTCTGGCTATGGATAGATGAAAATTCTTAACATATTGAGACCCCTCCGTGCCTCGGAGAGCACATTAAGCCATAGGTCCAGCCATACGAGCATCTGTATCGGTCGTCACGGGTAGTTGGAACCCCTTAAAAGTCCGACAACAATTTTTCTACATAATTTCAATATCGCCTGGTATTTGAGTTGTGGACATAGAGCAACATAGGCCACCGTAAAGCAACGGGCAGAGTAGCCGTAGGAGAGAGTAGTACAACAAAAGTCTGTCATTTTTGGCTGGGGAGGACCAGACGACCACGCACACATTCTCAGACTCCAAGAACCTCAAGAAACAGTCAGCTGTGACTACGGCACTCACACAAAAGTAAGAGGCCTTGAAATGATCTGAGCAAATGACACTGTTACTTGTAGGTAACCAGTTAAGGTATCTGTTTTTACAATAGTTCTTCCATATATATAGACTTTAAACTCGGATCTTTAATAAACCTGCAATAAATAAATAAAAACAATAGGGTCGTAGTTTACATGTCTTAGTAATTTTAATATGATATGTTCTTGTAAATATTGTATTATATTTGATTGGACGCAATTTTAATTTAAAAAAAATAAAGCTTACAATCCACATAATTATATCAGAAAACATAATCTCAAAAATGATAAATGGTACGAGAGACAAGGATATATGTTTTATCGATTTCTAACTATTCTCAAACCGGTAACAATATTATCGCTCAGTGATATCGACCGAATATCGTATGACACCGAGAAGCGTAGGATGGTAAATCCATCTCCTATGAGGCGGCGAGTCTCCTGGCCGGAACTCCACCGTGGGACCTGGAGGCGAGAGCCCTTGCGACTCTGTATCAGTAACGCAAGGAGGCGCGGGAGTTTGGTCGGTGCCCAGAGATTCGAGAAATCGATGACCGGAAAGCCCAACTCCGCCAGGTCATCATAGGGGAGTGGAGGGAACGAATCGGGCAACCGAGCGACGGGCACGCCGTCATCGCGGCGGTAAGACCCGTTATGGAGGATTGGCTCGAGAGGCGTCACGGGACCCTCTCATACCGACTGACACAGATGATCACTGGGAAAGGATGTTTCGGGGATCACCTGTGTCTGATCCGCAAGGAGCCAACCACTGCGATGGCCAAACAGTGGACACGGCTCTCCACACGCTGGCAGAGTGCCCGGCGTGGGTTGAGCAGAGGCGAGACCTCGTGGCGGCCTTCGGAGTGGGAGTTCTCTCGCTCGATAGCCTGATTGCGGCTATCGTGCGGAGCGAGAGTGCGTGGAACTCTGCCGTCTCCTTCTGCGAGCAAGTTATGCTCGCGAAGGAGACGGCGGAGCGGGAGCGGGAGAGGTTTAGGACTCTCCCGGCCCGCCAGGCCCGGGAATGGGCCAGGTACCGCAGGCGACTCAGGCGCCGGAGGTCGCAGAACGACCTCCGTCCTCCATAAGCGCAGGCCGGGGGGTGACAGGTGAGGCCATCTGTCATCCTAGCAGAAGCAGGCCGGGGTGGCGGCGAGCGCGTTGCGAAGCGCGCTCGCTTCCAGGGAGCAGAGGGAACATGGGGTTCCCACACGGGGGGGGGGGGGTCGTCTACCTGTTGTTGTAGATGGCCCGAGGTATGTCAGGGGACCAGGGACTTCCTTTCTAGGGTATACCTGGTTCCCCGGCTATTAGTACCCGAGACGGCGTGCGGTTTTAGTCGGTTCGAGTCCGACATGCCACCGACAGGTGGTATCCGAGGGGATTTCCGCACGGAAAAAGAAAAAAAGGATGGTAAATCCAAAACAATACAACTGTTATTTTCGTAAAATTACTTACATATGAAAGGCAACGCCATCTTTTTGTAAACTTGACGTTGCAGATCTCTTTTTGAAGCAAAAAAACTGAACAATTAGGCATTTTTGTAGGACGGCTACTGTCGCTTATTCCGCAGCGCACCTAGATTTTTTCTAGTGAGCGGTCCAGCCCCAACTAGTTTTATTGTACCTATAGGACCATGTGGACTTATACGGTGGCAGAGAGGATCGCCTGCGTATGGCTACTCAATACCATGTTGTTTTACGATGGGTTGTGGAAGGCTGATGGCAGTTGTTCGCTGTAAAAATCGAAGTTCAGCCGTATCGTAGTAGGCTTAAAGCCAACCTAGTTTGGCAAAAGGCTCGGATGAAGATTTTAATAGATTGAAGATTCTGAACAAATTATAATGCTACAAAATACAAAATCTGCAACTGTGACGAATGGCCGTTAATCAGTCAGAGGGCAGTCTGGTTTTTTTATTTAGTATTCTTACTATTTTGACAGAAAACAGCTTGAGTCATGGTACGTTTAAAAACTTAGATTGTTAAAATAACTTAAGGGAAAAGTTGGTTTAATTTTTTAATTAAAAGTTATATTACTAGAAAATACTATTAATTTTTATTTATTAACCGTAGTGTAACTCATGGAATTAATATTTTATTCTTAAATAAATACTTGTATATATTCGCCAAACTGTTATCGAGTCTGAATGTAATACTTTGAATGGTGTCTGGATGACGCACACTCCCGTAAAAGAACGGAACTAAAACATATCATTTATTCTTTTTGTGCGTAATTAGTGAATAATACTGCTTTATATTGTTGATTAAGCAATCATCAGGATTATAAATCCTTAGTAATGAGTTTTCTGGGTAAATTATTTGGTGGGAAGAAGGAGGAAAAAGGGCCCTCAACCCATGAAGCAATTCAGAAATTACGTGAAACTGAGGAACTGTTGCTCAAAAAACAAGAGTTTCTAGAAAAGAAGATTGATTTAGAAGTACAGACAGCCAGAAAACATGGTACCAAAAACAAGCGTGGTAAGTTTACAATAGCAACAGAACATAATTATTGCTTCATACATTTATGCTTTGTTGACATGTAATAAAGGTATATGACCTTGTTTTAGATCAGCTAATAATTGTGACATCTTTATCGTTGGCACGGGTGTGTTAAGCATTTTTAAAGCAGTTCATTAAGTGTTCTACCAGAATATCTGTCTGACTTTAGGTTTTTGTCAATAATCAACAGCTGCTTTCAGATGCTTCGCATTATAACACCTGTATTATCTACAAGCACAAACAATTAAGAAATTGTAGTGTCTTATTCTTTTACTGTGCAAGCATCATCAACAGCCTTTATTAGTCCACTGCAGGACATAGGTCTCTCCATACAAAGGAGGTTTTGGCCTACTATACCACGCTCACCAGACGGGTTGATATAGGGTTTGTGTCAAGTTTTTCTACTATCTGCAGTGCTGTTGTCCTGCGTAGTTTGCTCCCTAAGTCGTTTCTTACTTACACCCAAATGGTGAATAGGGGTGGTGATACTCTGTCTACTTAATCTATCACCACACAAAAGCATCTGTATACTTTTATATTAAAATACATATTTATTCTTATGTCTCATGATTATGATCAGTGAGTAATTTAAAGGCCCACATTTTATTGACTTTAAATTAAAATCGCAATTATGTAATAGTGGTCATGCCTGTTGCCGTCTGTATCTGGGCACACATTTTCACAGTAAATTCCTTAAGAATTTAATGCGAAAATTAGGAGTATAAAATAAAAGAAAAATTGAGTCAGATGGCAAAGCCTATATATAAAAATGTAAAAAAGTTAGTTAATGTAAAAAATTAACTATAGGTTGAATGAAAGCATTAAAAAGAAATATCAAGAGTTTTGTGAGTCATATTAACAAATATCACAAAAGATTTAGTCGTTAAATATCAGCCATTAAACTTTCTATCATTGTCATTAAAATATGACAATAACAATTTGAGACACCACTAAATAAATCAACCACATAATAAATCAACCAGAGTGAATGATTTGAATGTAATTTTTTTAAAGTGGAATTTGATATTTTTAATTTTTAAGTACTTAAATTTTCTTTAGTGGTTTAGTTATACATATTATTTAGGCTAACGAGCGATGAATGAACAATCTTATTATGAACCGTTAATGTCCGACTGTTGTTGGGCGTCCAAAGAACCCTATGGTTAAGTATCATTGTTTGGATTAAGCAGCATACTTAGGTAATATTGCATTCTTGATTGATTTGTAACCCAGGAAAGTGGACTTTCATTTAAAATGTCAAGGACGTCCCTATTCTTGTTGTTGCTTTGTAGAATCCTTATAAATTGTTGTTGACTGTTAAGGGTTTATGTACACTACTAGTAAAATCCATAGACTAACCGAAAATCTTGGCATGCTATAGTCTACTAGCAATGTCTAAACATAGTTCATTGATTGGTACATTCATCCGTTGTATTAGCAACATTGAGCAGAGGAATTTGTGCTCTCTCTTTATATGATAGAGTTTACTTTGAATAGTATATTTTGAGTAGGCAGTGTAGTAGGAGGCCATGGATTGGTAAATGTATAATATTTGACAAATGTCTTTGTATTTCATACAGAGATTGTTTTTATTAAAGTTTTAATTCATTGTATACCTATCTGACTCATTTGCAAATAATTTCTCAATAAGTACTGTGTTTTGTGTATAATTGATTAAAGTTTATATTGTGAGTTAAATAGAAATTGTTTCATGAAGTATTACGTAAAAGGAGCTATTATAACAAATGACATAAATTTCATAATGTCCAACGTCAAGTGCAGGTGGAATAATAGATATCATTGTGGAAGTATGTAGACTAGTGGATGACTTTTAGTAATTGACCAAATCTATACTTAATATTATAAAGCTGAAGAGTTTGTTTGTTTGTTTGAAAGCACTAATCTCAGGAACTACTGGTCCGATTTGAAAAATTCTTTCAGTGTTAGATAGCCCATTAATCGAGGAAGGCTATAGGCTATATATCATCACGCTAAGACCAATAGGAGCGGAGCACCAATGAAGAATGTTTCAAAACCGGAGAAAATTTATTACTATTGAGAGACGCAGACGAAGTTGCGCGGGTCAGCTAGTTGTTAATAAACGCCAACCTTCTATACATTTAAAGTAATTTGCATTAACTGATTTGTTACTGCAGTACCTAAGCTCCTAGTGCTACAAGCTCAAAATTTTGTCCACTGATGCTTTTTATGTTGTAAGCACACCTAAATGGCAAAGTAAGCTATGAACGATTGTATGGAAGTCCGTCATTTTCGAAGTTAGAAACACGTGATTTCAAATAATCACGCGGGCAATAACGCATATGTAATAATACAACCAACCACTCATAACTCCGTCCGTAACAGTCCGTGTGGTGACGGATTAAGAATACAGAGTGTCACCACCCCTATTCATCCCGTGGGTGTCGTAAGAGCCGACTAAGGGAGCGAAATACGCAGGACACCAGCACTGCAGAGAGAAGGAAAACTTGAAACGAACCCTATACCAACCCGTCTGGCCAGCGTGGTATAGTAGGCCAAAACTTCCTTCCTAAGGAGAGGCCTATGTCCAGCAGTGGACTAGTAAAGGCTGTTGATGATTGATGATGATGATGACTCATAACTCTCTCTCATCTTAGATTATTCATATCTCAAAAACATGTTACATAAATATATTTAATGCAGCTGCATATAAACTGACTAGCTCGTACCCGCGACTTCGTTCGCGTGGAATTTGAAAATCGCTGTAGGTTTGATGCCTGGACCGGGCAAAATTTTAAAGGGTTTTTCTGAGAGGAATATTTACGCCTACGTTATTCCTTATACAGCTACCTGGTAGTAAAATATTATCGAAATCGGTCCAGCCGTTTAGAAGATTGCCGTGAACAAACAGACAGACAGACAGACAAAAAAAAAACAAACTGGTCTTTAGGCATAGGTATCGTGCAAATAACCATATTAGGCATAGGTATCGTGTGAGCATGACAAAGCTATAATTTTGACATTACAAACATACACTTCAATTTTGTTTATTTCTAAAGATAGCAATGCCCACCATATTTACACAATTTTAATGAAAACTCAATCGACAGATACGTAACAGACCATATGGATTTTGAGGACTGTTTTTAATTAAGAACGGTATAAAGCAGTTTTAGAACCCTTCAGCATAAATATCGTATTGTGCTGTAGAGTTTCACTAGCGAACGCTTACAAAGGAGGCTTTCTTCGTTGTAAATATACATCGACATGCTAAATGGTCAAGTGTCTTTTCAGCTGCGATAGCCGCTTTAAAGCGCAAGAAGCGCTACGAGAAGCAGCTGACCCAGATCGACGGCACGCTCACACAAATCGAAGCGCAGCGGGAAGCGTTAGAAGGCGCTAACACTAATGCCCAGGTCCTCAACACCATGCGAGAAGCTGCCAATGCCATGAAGCTCGCCCACAAGGATATGTAAGTAACATTTATAATTTACTACGGTCTGGTTCACATCAACAGCCTTTAATAGTCCACTCCTGGACACGCTGGCCAGACGGGTTGGTATAGGGTTTTTGTCAAGTTTTCCTTCTCTTTGTAGTGCTGTTGTCCTGCGTAGTTTGCTCCCTTAGTCGGCTCTTACGTCACCCACGGGATAAATAGGGGTGGTGACACTCTGTATTCTTAATCCGTCTCCACACGGATAGGATACGACCTAGTTACTGTAACACATTATTCGACATGACCTCTAAGAACATAAACAAAATAAAAAAGGGCTTTAAAAAAAAAAGAAAATTTTTGTAATGGAATATGGGGCTAACGATTAGACGTTGCCGCCCTTTTGATTACCTCAAACACATATAAAATATCGATAAAAATAACTTAACAGCTGTTTTCTGCGAGACCGTGGTTCTTGGTAGTCTGGCCCTAATGTAATAATATCATCTTGCAGTGATGTAGACAAAGTCCACGACATTATGGACGATATCGCTGAACAGCACGACATATCTCGTGAGATCACAGACGCGATCAGCAACAACGTCGCATTCCCCAACGACATCGATGATGACGAGCTGGAGAAGGAACTTGAGGAACTCGAACAGGTATGTCTGATTTGAATAAGAGAGAATTATTATGGAACAACCAATCTGCATGGCAACCCATGCGATATTCCGTCGGGTTTTGGTATGGTGCTAAATACCATATCAACAATAGAAGCTCAATTCGTACTCACATACTCGTATTCACGTATTCGCATTCTCATTTGGATAACGGTAGCGGATACTATTGGATAACGGTAGTACTTAGTTTTAAAAAGACCTTAAAGCGGATTTTACAAGGTCAGTAGTCATGCTAGGGATTTAGCCAATCAAAGGTAGTGTAAGTTTATTTCATATCTATTCGATCGTCATGGTGAGCGCGTTTGGCGCTGCGATTGGCCCGCATCGAAATATTCACCAATCGCAACGACGAACGTGCTCGCTGTCGAAAGCGAATTCATGTGAAATAAACTTGCACTAGGGCCTCAGTAATGATGCAACTTAACAACTTGTTACGTCATTCCTTGCTGACATATGTCATTATTACTGTGACAATAAAAAAATTGTTGCGAGCTAGAAAGTAATGATGAATTGAATATTCCAAACTCATGTGAACATATTATATCATAGAAAACTACCCTATTTTACTCAAATACCGTTTTTTAACCCTAAATCATTCATTGAACAAAACATCAACTAATTTGAATCGATTAGAACTAGTTGAGTCTCCTTTGTTCGTCTGGTATGGCAACCATTTATCTTTATTTAATTTGTTCAAAATGTTTGCAATTTGAGCGCTGCCTCAGTGGTGTAGTACGGTACGCGACTGCAGTCTATGAGGCCTCTGGTTCGATTCCCGCACCGGATAAAATTTTACAGGGTTTTTCTGAGAGGAAAAATAGCGTAAGTTGCTTCTCATATAGACAGCTACTTAATAGTAAAATATTATCAAAATCGGTCCAGCCGTTTTAAAGATTACCCGGAACAAACAGACAGACGAACAAAAAATATTTAAAATAGTTTTAGGCATAGGTATCGTGCTAATAGCAGTGTGAGCAAGAAAAAAACCTATAATTTTGACATTCCAAGCAGACACTTCAATTTTAATTTATTTTTATAGATATAGAAACAAGCAATCTTAACACCAGTTTTCTGAAATTTATTTATCTCGACAAATTACAATACACGAACAAAATGATCTGTTCATCTTATATAAAAAAAATGCAGTTCGTGGTATACTATTGTATGAATATATCGTTTTGTATTTTACTTTTGCAGGAGGATCTTGACAAGGAGATGCTGGGCATCGGAGTACCGACGGACAATCTACCAGACGTGCCCGCTTCCGAACTCGTGCACGACAAACCTAAGCCTAGCAGGTCCAAGCAGACAGGTTGGTATATGAACACTTAATTTAAAATATAAGCATTATTTAATCATTTGAAATTACAAATTATGAGGCAAAGTAGAGATAGCCAAATGGGTCTTGGATTTGCGTTTACAAATAAAGACATCGAACCCATGACCTAAGCCTCAATTCTACTAATTTATGTTAACGCCAAGCCACTGTCATTCCATTAAGACGCTATCGAGATGCCATTGACATCGGTCATAATATCAGTATTCTACTAACATAAATAGACTGTCAATAGACTGTCGATATAGTAATATAGGTCATCAATGGTGATATCAACAATATTGCCATATCATGAAAATTAAATATATCATTTTCTTACAAATTCTAAATGTACCGTTTACCAAACTGTTATACAGACATCGACGATATTTACATCAGTTACGATTCATTGTTCTCACATAGTTAGTAGAATAGGAAAAGTGCAAAACTATTCCGACGACATTCCATCGACAGTCTATTGATACAATATTAAAATACCAGAATTGAGCCCCTGATAAATGTATAATTTTTTTTATTATATTATTTCAGAAGATGATGATGATCTGGCGCAACTGCAATCATGGGCCACATAATCCTGTATCATCACCGGTTCACTGTATAAGTTGTACGTTTGTGATATTTAATAGGTATCGTATAACTCAAGGCTAAGCGTGACGACATTTGTGGCAAAACTGTAACGGTTATTAAAACTCAATCGGGATTGTACGTCTTAGCTTAATTTATCATCTGATCACAAAAGAGTATAAAAGCGTAACCTGAAACCAGATTTTTTTGACAGCTATAATTTTATAATCTCTTAGTAGTCAAATTAAATAGCTGTTAACGTTGAGTCTACGCCTATATTCCCTAAAGGGGTAAACAGAAGCATATAATTGCCGTCCACTGGTCAATTTAGAAATTGTATGGGAAAATTTGGTGTACTAAATGATAGGAAGAGTTGGTAAGATGGAAAGGATGATAGGAAAGGGATATTGCGAATATGAATGATTCTAGGAATAATAATAATAAATCACACATCTCAAACAGGGCACTCTGATCATAAAGTAGGCAGAGCCTGTGCTATAGTAACCAGACTGCTGATAAACATACTTATATATTGCCAAATATGTATTTAGAAAACATTTTATAGATAAATTACACCCACCCACAGAACAAATGATCGTTCTCATCACACAATATTTGTTCTGGGCGGGAATCTCTAACAGAAGTCCCAGCCCTCTACGTGAAGTCTGAGCCCATTACGCGAAGTTAGAGCCCTTTACCTGAAGTCAGAGCCCTTTACCCAAAGTCGGAGCCCTTTACCCGAAGTCGGAGCCCTTTACCCGAAGTCAGAGCCCTTTACCCGAAGTCAGAGCCCTCTAACCGAAGTCCGATCCTTGTAACGAAGTCCGAGCTATCTAACCGAAATGGCTATATAGATGATGCATCGCTAAAGCGTACAATCATATTTCTCATACAAGCACCATTGTACTTTTCTGAGGACAATATTTAATGCCTTTGATGATGATTACATAAATCTTGGTGAAGATTCCCGACCGCAAAGATGACCCACAAATGTATTCACGCATTGTATAAATATGTATTAAAAACATGTCAACCTAAAAGTCGCTTTCTCATTATAAACGAATAATATTGTATTCCCTGCCTTATATACACTTTATATAATTAGTCAAAATATTGATGGAGAATATCCGGGGGGGCTGGATTTGATTTTATTTTTGTTATTTAAAAATTTAAGTTAATTTTTACATACATATTTTGTTTTTAAGTGTCATGTAAAGATTTTTAATTAATCATAATAATGTATGATCAGGTTTAAACAGTACAGAATATGCTTGTCAAGGATTTACGCTCGTTATATTTAAGCAGATGCTGAACTTTTTTTACTGGTGTAGCATCTGAAGCTAAATAAATGTTAACTCAATCTCAAATATTATTTACCAACTAACGAATTTATTGAAAAGATCACTAATCCGCATTGAAAATATATTTGCTACTATACTAGTCAAGCAGTAATTTATTATAAAAAAATAAAAAACAATCATGCATTGACTCGCGGCCTTTCAGTTTACTTTGAATAATTAGTCATTGTCCGTCTAATTCTTCCAAAAATTGATAATAATTATGTCTAGTTGTACATTCCAACCAATAAAATATAAAATTTGAGATTCAATCAACCAGTTTTAAATGTCATAACTTTCGATTCAAACTGTCAATGTATAAATTGCAACTGTCAACAAATAAGTTTTGACAAGTCTAATAAGTTGCAACTGTCAGGGTGATTTCCAATCAAACTTATGAATTGTCAATGTCAAACTTGCAACTGTCAAAATTATTTCAAATCAAACTTTTTGTAGTGAATTATTCACTTTATGAAGGAGGAATAAGGTTGCACGTCGTACGGATAGTAAAAGTAGCTTATTAATGCTTATTTTCACTGCTCACTAACTAAGAAAACTGTATTATTCTGTCCCGTTATTTCTAATAGAAGTAAACAGAGAAAGTATGATATTGTTGTCGCTGTAAAATTTTGTTGTGAGCCGTGAAATAAGCCCTTATTTTTTTTAGGGTTAGTGCTAACTGTATTTGAAGCGTACATTTTTTAAGCTGTAACATTGGTTCGATAATATATTTTATTTTAAGAAGTTATAGCGGTTTTATTTTCTAACTTATATGATATATTTATACGAAAATCATGTAGGCATACATACACTTGTCAAAGACATAATTTTTGTAAGGCAAACATTCTTATCGCAGGATAGTATTTTTTAAACTTAGTATACAGTTATTTTATTATTTTTGTTAAGGCAAGGAGATACGATATTAGCCCTCATGAGCAACTGCTCATGAGGGCTAATATAGTGTCTGTGATTGAGCTACAGTTGTACAAAATCTGGTAAACTTACCAGATTCTCAACTTACCAGATTTTTTACAATCATACAGAAAATGTATTGTATTGAATTATATTGGTGGTAGTAATCGTAACAGCACAGATAAGTAAGTAATTTTTAACCTTCCACCGTATCGGCAAAACTAATTTTTTTTTGCTCACCTCTGTACTGCGTTTTGAAATGTTAATAGCACCCCTTTATAATTTTTAGTCCATCATAATATATATACAATAAATTGCAACTATTTATCCACTTTAAAACGCACTTATTTTTATAAAATAAAAATAACTTATAATCCAGTGATGTTTTCAGCAGTTATAACGAGAAAAGTAGACCCACAAATTACATAGATGGCACTGAAAACTGATTAACTTAATCACCTTTGCTTAAATGTATTCTAATATTAAAAAGGCGTCCAGGACATTACAATAAAAAAAAACATAGCATTATAAAGATAAGAAAAGAAATGAAAAAGTAAATATTAAAAAAAAAAACTTATTTGAATTACAAAAGCGAATAACCGATTATTTTGTCATTAATTTCTTTATTTCTAGGGAGGCTTGAAAATATATTGATTTTAGGTTAAAGTTAAGTGACACCACAGGCTGCATCTTTACCTCTAACGCAGTTTTACATTCTTCAGTTTTTATAGCATCGTCATGATTTTAATGAGCAGAATAAATAACAATTATTAGTCAAGTTACTAAACATTATAGCTAGGACATTTGTACTCATCATCATCATGAACATCTCAGATGAAAAGACGTCCACTGCTGGACATAGGCCTATCCCAAGATTCGCCGCAACAACCGATCCTGTGCTGCCCGAATCCAACGGCTTCCAGCGACCTTCAGCAGGTCGTCGGACCACCTTTTGGAAGGCCTTCCCACGCTCCGTCTTCCGTTACGCGGTCGTCGCTCAAGAACTGTTTGCCCTATCGGCCATTATCTGTGGCCCGCTGCTTGTTTTAATTATATTTGTACTAATTTAATACTAAAATGAAAAAAATCATTTTTTCCAACAAAACTTATAAATCTTCTCTCATCTCGTACAACAAGATGATATAAAATTTCCAAAATCATGCTCTAGCTAGTTAATATTTAGTTAAAAAACAGCAAACAGCAGAGGTCGTGGGTTCGATTCCCACCCAGGACAAATAATTGTGTGATGAGCACGGTCATTTGTTCTGTGTCTGGGTGTAATTTATCTAAAATATGTATGTATTTAGAAATATTTATGTATGCTTATCAGCAGTCTGGTTACCATAGTACAGGCTCCGCCTAGTTTGGGATCAGACGGCCGTGTGTGAGATGTGTGAAAATATTATTATTATTATTAAAGCAGTGTCCAATATCGCGTCAGTGCTGAAAACAAAGGTTTGAAGGAAAATGCCAAAGTAAAAACAGCAGGAAGTACTCCGTCACTCTTATGTTTGACGTTAGGTAATCCTGTTCACTAACCCTTACCAACGAACGAAATATAACGATATAACAATTACTTAATTATGTCACAGTACAAAGTGCAATAAATCTTCGCGGCAAAATGTTTGACATGCGCATTGCGACTGCGCGAACTGTGAGCTGAATTTTGATAATATTTGCGTTCGATACTTTCTATGAGGGGTATTCTGATCTATAGTAATAGATACGGTAGTCTGAATAGTTAACTATCATAGACTGCTTGCCTATATTTTTACTACAAACTTTAACAGGTAAATAAATACATTTTTTTTATGTTAGAGGGGGCAGACGAGCAGACGGGTCACCTGATGGAAAGTGACCATCGCCGCCCATGAACGTCTGCAACTCAGGAGTCACAAACGCGTTGCCGGCCTTTTAGGACTACGCTACGAGTTTGAGGTCGTATATACATTTGCAGTTACGGCAAATATATGTATATTCGTGAAATGATTTCTTTGTGATTTTAGTGAATGTCGAGTTTATTTGGGTAGTTAAAAATGAGAAGTTTGGTATTCTAAATTGTAAGTAGGTAATCGAAACTCTAAGTGCACATTGTTTAAAAATACAGGTGTGAAATTGATCTATTACGTGATGACCGAATTCAATGATGATCGTCTAAAAAACCTTGATGTATACAATGTACCGTAATCAATGTCACAGAATGGTACAATAAAGGTCATTTCCATATATATAACTAAATTGTTGTAAATTTTCTTGGTATATGTTTTTGTTTTATTTTTCGCGTAGCCGCTAATCACTGTTACAGTAACTACTCACGAACTTCAAAATGCAACAAAAATAAATTACTTTAAGTATGTCTTTTGAAGCATTCGTGGTCTCATTCATTTCGCGATTCGAGCGAATTTCATGATCTAAAACACCCTTAAACAATTCAGTTTTGTTAATTTGATATACTTACAACGAAATTACTTTAAGTATGTCTTTTGAAGCATTCGTGGTCTCATTCATTTCGCGATTCGAGCGAATTTCATGATCTAAAAAACCCTTAAACAATTCAGTTTTGTTAATTTGATATACTTACAACGGGTATACAGGGTATTACAAAAAGTTGTGGTAATTTTTAGGGTCGCATTGACAATTTTATAAAATATCTATCGATGAACCTTTTTTTTGTATGGAAATATCACAGGAAAAAAAGTTTAAAAAACCTTTCCAGAGCCGATTGTTAAGTGATATATCGGACTCCGACCGACTAAGACCTTAGGTGTTCCGCCACGAGTGAAACTATTGCAAGGGACGTGGGACACTATATCAAGAAAGTCTTCTGAGAACATCTGAAGACTTAGGCCGGTAGATAAAGAAGTGACAACATCGCACAGAGTACAGGGAGTCTGACTCTCAGATCCCTAGATCGGAGAGGCGAGGGTGGAGCGTTTCCCACCAAATTCATAGGCTGGTTCCTACAAAAGGTAACAGTCAGCCCGATCCGTTAATAGACGACCTGCGCTAATGGAGGTTGAAGATCTCAGGTCCCAGTGTTCATGATGTTGATGGGTGCTAGATTTTTTTGAAAATATCTGCATAAAAAATAATACAACAGCCTTTAATAGTCCACTACTGGACCTAGGCATCTCTTTAGCCAGGAGGTTTTGACTTAATATGCCACGCTGGCCAGACGGGTTGGTATAGGGTTTGTTTCAAGTTTTCCTGCTCTTTGAAGTGCTGTTGTCTTGCGTAGTTTGCTCTCTTAGTCAGCTTTTAGAACACCCATGGGAGGAAAAGTGTCAACACACACTATTCTTAATCCTTCACCGATGAAAATGACTTTGCTCTATGAAAATTGTTTTCAGAAGAAATACAAAACCATTTTTAATCGGCCATTTGTCTGCTACACATAATGCTTCTAAAATTTGAACCCACCTTTCTGTAACACCCTGTATAAAAATAGATAATTGCATTATAGTTACGCCAACAATTTGCGAACATGTCCAGAATAAGTCCGCGGTACATTTTAATGATATGCCGCAACAAACAGTTTAAATCATGTGGCGTTTATCCTTGGCGACCAGTTGGTGTCGTGCTTAACCTGTAAGCAACATGAAGTCCTACTGTATCGTGGTAAGTCGATTTTTGTAACTGGGTTATTATTCGGTTAAAAATAACTGATCTCTTAAAAACAACGTTGAGTTAAGATGGTATAATAAACTGACTAAATAAATAATAAAATAAAATGAAATAATTAGTGCAATACAGTTAGAATTTTTTAATTCCTTAACCTTTCCTTGAATAAAATAGTTTTATGATTGTGTTTTTGCAGGAAATTGTTTATTGTAAACATAGGAAAATTAAAATGAAAGAAAACTAACAGTGAATTTCTCCATTGTTGCGTGATAGCATTAAGGGAGCATTTTGGTTTTTTGCTAGATTTTCTATTGATCGTTTTTAATAAGGCTTATTGTTTTTTTCACGAGTATAAGTTACCTACTACTTGTTTAATATAGTAAGCCGTTATATCTAAACCAACACCCGCCAAGGCTTAGTTTTTTTAAACGCAAACGAAACCAGCAGTAATAATTGTATATCTATTGTACAGCATCCGTACAGTAACACGATACTCTTTCTTTCCAGTTTATTCTTATAATACACACGGCCTCAGCAACTGTGGACCTAAATACCCTCAAAGAGTCATCTGCCAAAAAATTACAGACTTTAGAAGAATATGCAACGAACAAAATACAAATGTTACACGAAATGATAGAAAAAGACCTGAAATCACTTCAAGATAAAGCCACTGGAACATATCAAATGATCGCTGACTCCATTGATGCGGAAAAACTTAAGAAATTAGATATATTTAATATTATACCAAAGGTTCAACTTAAAGGAGAGCTCATTCAAAATAAGCTTAAAAGTTTATCAGGAATAAAGCAGAAACCGCAGTTGTATTCGTCGAGAAGAAGCCAAAGTGGTCACAACTTGATTTTGACTTACGATGTGGGGTTACCGTGGCCTGTGAAGAGATTGGGTGAAATTGAAATTTAGATCCAAAAAAAAATTTCATCAATGTCAAAATAATAATTAGTAGAGTAAGTCAATTTTATTAATAATGTACATTGTGTATATAATGTAGAAAAATATTTATTTGAATTTCCTTATCTTGTTTCTGTAATACGCAGTGGTAGTAGACTGCACGGATGGCGTAGTGGTTAAAGCAGTCGCCGTGAGTGTTCTGGATTCGATCCCCACATGAGACACCACTTTGTGTGATCCACAAATTATTGTTCTGAGTCTGGGTGTTAGAAAAGTCCCCCGTGACACTGGGTATATATACTTACACCTAATGCTGGATTTATCTTTAAAAAAAAAAGAATATAGGGTGGATGAGTGTCAAGTAAAATCAGTATCTTTTTAGTAAACTTAAAAACGATGCGGTACATTTTTGTATAAAATACTATGATGTGACGTCATACCTTGCTATTGTCAAATCATTTATATTTAATGTCTATTTAGATATCCCATCAATATATGATAACGGACGATAATTCAGGTTGTACTTTAAGATGTTATATTTAATAATAAAGGCGAAATAATTAATTTTAAACCTGGGAATTTACTCTAATATAGTATTGTTTAGTAGCTGGCCCTCATTCAAATGTATGGTCCATTCGTGTTAAGATTTTTTTTTTTTAATATTTTCACACATTGCATACACGGCCGTCTCATCCCAAACTAGGTAGAGCCTGAGCTATGGTAACCAGACTGCTGATAAACATACTATATACATATTATAGATAAAATACACCCAGACACAGAACTAATGACCGTGCTTATCACACAATTATTTGTCCTGGATGGGAATCGAACCCACCACCTCTGGCGTAGCCACTAACCACTAGACCAACAGGCCAGTCTTTTTTTTAATAATAATATTTTCAGAAAGAAGTATATAATCTTTTTAAATAGTGACGATGCACTTTGAAATATTTAGGTTTATATAACTATGTACTAGTATAGAGGACACTCAAAAAACAAAAATTAAAACTAGCACTTAAAAGATAAAAAAAATTAAACTTTTTGTACCTAAATAAATACTTTATTCACCAACACTTAAATCACTCAATAACTTATCAAAAATATCAGTTTTATCTACGGCGCTGCCCCTCGGCAGGAACTCATCCAACAACCCATTCTGGAAATCTCCAAAATCATCTTGAACATTGGTGTCAGCCAGCCCAAGTTCTGTGAGCAAAGTCAAATTATCCACATTGTCAGACTTTTCAGTGTTGTCAAAAGCCACGTTGTCAAACTTATCGGCGTTGTCAAAGTCTGGCAGGAGTTGTTGTGAGGAGTCCGTGTCGTCGTTGTCTTTATTTTGTCGGCGATTGACCGGTTTCGGCTCCTTGTTGTCAATGTCAGATATATCGTGATATTCGTGGATCTCTTTGCCAAATTCTATTTCTTCTTCTTCGTTGTCCTGTAATACGAAAGGCTGTTAAATTTCATCATCGTCTCTCTTATTTTACGATATAGGGGGGCAAACGACGTCTGCTCGTTTCTGGTCACCTGATGGAAAGTGAATTCCACTGTCCATGAACGCCTGCAACTCAGAATAAGAGACATAATTACGTTGCCTCGCTTTGAGTGGCCTCCCCGACAGGTTAAGATGGGAGATCAGGTTTGGTTCACTAGTAACCTCACTCTCTCAGTGAAAAGCAAACAGAAAAATTAATTAATACCGGTTTGCTCTGCGTTATTTACAATTTAAATTCCAAAATTGTTAGGAATGTAATCGTTTTCAGACAGGAGTAGAGAATAAGAAAACTGTGGTAAGAAAAATGAATGGACTAAGGGAGCTAAGGTAATGGAAGCAGAAAGTCTTAAATGGGAAAAGGCAGACTGAGACTGCATCAGCTCAAAGAGACTGTTCACGTGTACCCATAGTTCCGTTATGTGATTATAGAAGCCATTAGGTCAGAGACATCAACTTATCATCATCATCAACAGCTTTTCATAGTGTTGGACATAGGCGTCTCTTTAGAAAGGAGTTTTGGCCTATTATATCACACTGGTCAGACGGATTGGTATAGGGTTTGTGTCAAGTTTTCTTTCTCTTTGCAGTGCTGTTGTCCTATGTAGTGTGCTCCCTTAGTCGGCTCTTAAGACACCCACGGCTTTAACAGGGGTGGTGACACTCCGTATTCCTAATCCGTCACCACACGGACATCAACTGGAAAGTTGAATCTATGAAGTGATCATTTTTTTAACGTTTGTAGAAACAACTCTTTGTTCTTATTACGTGATACAGAGGAAAACAGCTATAATACCTGTTGCTAATCAGGAGGCCACGTTTTGCCACGGTCCTCGGGACATGCCTAGAAACCCCCTAGCCTCTACAAACCAACCGCGACAAATCACCGCGTGGTTTTAGTCTTATGTACTCTCAAAGAGTCCATGAAACCTAATATATATATATATTTGATTTAACAAATTTTGTGAAAGTGACACTGAAAGGCCAAAGCAGTGTTTAAAAAAAAGAAGCGTTTAACTGTAGAAGTAGTGTTCCCGAGGACCATAGGCCTTTAGCCCTAAATTTAAGCCCATTGGTCCTTTTTTAGAGCTATGCTAATAAAAAGGGCTTTAAAAGTCTCTTCCTGTGAGCCTATAAAAGTCTTTAGGCTTTTTTTTGCGACTGGAGTCTTTCTGAACAACAGGCTTATATTAAGGCTGAAGCCATTTTTAACCGACTTCAAAAAAGGAGGAGGTTCTCAATTCGACTATATTTTTTTTTTTATGTTTGTTACCTCATAACTTTCGACTGGGTGAACCGATTTTGATGATTCTTTTTTTATTGGAAAGCTGGTGCTTCCCGTGTGGTCCCATTTCAATTTGGTCTAGTTCTGACCATGGAATCCATGAGAAAACCATTGAAGTCGTTTTTTTTTTGTTAAAATTTTACTTGTTGAGACTCAGTCTAAGTACGCCATCATATTAAAACAACATTTGTTTTATATGGCTTATATTGTATGATTAAGAAAAGAAAATTATAATTAAACCTAACTATCGTGAAAACAATTGAGGATCTAGATTAGACGGGCGATTGCCTTTCCTATTATTCAAATTGCCTGCTTCGGAAAACGATTGTTCACTGGGTACACTTGTATCAGATATGGAAATGCCATATTTTTGCGCTTGTTTGACACAACCGATGTACTTTTAGTTTTAACGTAGAACTTATCAGTTTATTAAAGTTCAAATACCTAAGACAGATTCTTTTTTGTTACATTTTCAAATTAAACTCTTAAAAATTGATCAATTTAAAAATGATTAAAGAGCAATAGAAGGAGCATCAGCTGAAAAGTAAATAATTGAGAAAAATCAAGAATATTTAAGAGACATCGAACAAAGAGTTAACAATAAAATTAAAAGTAAGTCAAAGTTACGTATATAGCTACAGCCTCGAGCTTCAAAGCCTTTATAGCCCTTTCAGAGAGATAAAAGCGTTACTGTTTTTAAACTAACCTAAAAAAAGCTTAGGCCTTTGCAAGACTTTGGACCTCAAACCAAGAGTCTTGAATAGGCCTAAAAGTCTTTATATGCTTTTAGCCTATCAAGCCCCTTAATTACGAGTCCAGCCTTAAAAAAAAGGCTAAAAGCCGATAGTCCTTGGGAACACTATGTCGAAGAGTACCTGAATAATTTGTGTAGACTTGTACTGGAACGCGTTCTGTGAGAGGTCCACTTCAACTGGGAACAGAGTGGCGTTTTCTGTCAGGTATTCCACCGTCTCACTGGAAATTCAAATATGAGTTTATTTAATCTATGTCTAAAACAAATTGTCTATTGAATTTTGTTTTAGATTGACTCTCACTATTTTTTGTTTATTAATTAAGCAAAATGACAAAAAAATATTGCTTTCCTACCAACGTGACGTCACGACTAATAAGCAACAACGTCTTCATAAATTTTTACTTAATTTTCTACTTTAATTACAGTACAACAATAATTATCCTGCACGTGTACAAGTTAACTGGCTTGTCCAATGTGTTATATGCTTAGCTCTGGTCATTGTCTGACCTTCCGGTCAGGGCAAAATGGTCAGACTGGCAGCTAATTGATGTATCTATGGTCTGATAGTGTAGGTGTACAGCACTGTAAATTAAAAAAAGGAAAACTTGGCACAAATCCTATACCAACGCGTCTGCTCAGTGTGGTATAGTACCTCTTTTTTAAGGAGAAGCCTATATCCAGCAGTGGACAAATTAAGGCTGTTGATGATGACGATGAAATCATAAAATTAGTAAGCTATATTTATATGCATATATATGAGTCAAACGAGCAGGTTTCCTGATGGTAAGTGCGTTTTCGCTCTTTGAGTGTTATCCCCCATAGTTTTAGAGGGGAGAGAAGTTTTAGTAATTTAACCTGGTATCAATCCGGTCGAGCCGGTCCATAATATAATAATATTATTTTCGGACATTTGACACACAACGCTATCTAGTTTTAAGCAGAGCTTGTACTATGAAAGCTAGATTGACTGATAGAATACTTTTATACTTTTTTAAGTAAATACATATTATTATGTATTACACATAGATTTTTTTTCTAGATAATCTAATAAAAATATTTCTAGATCATACAAAGATTTGGTCCGACCCGGGAATCGAACCCGATACCTCAGCACAGCAGTCGCTTACGTTACCACTGCACCATCGAGGCATTTATGATTGGTTAGTTAACGTTTGAATTTGATAGAATACCGTGTAAAGGAATTGCTGTAATGAATGAGAGACAAGTAGAAATGGACGTTATATGGAGCTGTATGGAGCTACATAGAGCTGTATAGAGCTACATGGAGCTGTACGGAGCAATATGGAGCTGTACGGAGCAATATGGAGCTGTACGGAGCTGTATGGAGCTGTATGGAGGTATACGGAGCTGTACGGATCTGTATGGAGCTGTACGGAGCTGTATGGAGCTGTACGGAACTGTATGGAGGTATACGGAGCTGTATGGAGCTGTACGGAACTGTATGGAGCTGTATGGAGGTATACGGAGCTGTACGGAGCTGTATGGAGCTGTATGGAGCTGTACGGAACTGTATGGAGGTATACGGAGCTGTATGGAGCTGTACGGAACTGTATGGAGCTGTATGGAGGTATACGGAGCTGTATGGAGCTGTACGGAACTGTATGGAGCTGTATGGAGCTGTACGGAGCTGTATGGAGCTGTACGGAACTGTATGGAGGTATACGGAGCTGTATGGAGCTGTACGGAACTGTATGGAGCTGTATGGAGGTATACGGAGCTGTACGGAGCTGTATGGAGCTGTATGGAGCTGTACGGAACTGTATGGAGGTATACGGAGCTGTATGGAGCTGTACGGAACTGTATGGAGCTGTATGGAGGTATACGGAGCTGTATGGAGCTGTACGGAACTGTATGGAGCTGTATGGAGGTATACGGAGCTGTACGGAGCTGTATGGAGCTGTATGGAGCTGTATGGAGCTGTACGGAACTGTATGGAGCTGTATGGAGGTATACGGAGCTGTACGGAGCTGTATGGAGCTGTATGGAGCTGTACGGAACTGTATGGAGCTGTACGGATCTGTATGGAGCTGTATGGATCTGTATGGAGCTGTATGGAGCTGTATGGAGCTGTACGGAGCTGTATGGAGCTGTACGGAACTGTATGGAGGTATACGGAGCTGTATGGAGCTGTACGGAACTGTATGGAGCTGTATGGAGGTATACGGAGCTGTATGGAGCTGTACGGAACTGTATGGAGCTGTATGGAGGTATACGGAGCTGTACGGAGCTGTATGGAGCTGTACGGAGCTGTACGGATCTGTATGGAGCTGTATGGATCTGTATGGAGCTGTATGGAGCTGTATGGAGCTGTACGGAGCTGTATGGAGCTGTATGGAGCTGTACGGAACTGTATGGAGCTGTATGGAGCTGTATGGAGCTGTATGGAGCTGTATGGAGCTGTATGGAGCTGTACGGAACTGTATGGAGCTGTATGGAGCTGTACGGATCTGTATGGAGCTGTATGGAGCTGTATGGAGCTGTACGGAGCTGTATGGAGTTGTATGGAGGTATACGGAGCTGTATGGAGCTGTATGGAGCTACATGGAGCTGTACGGAGGTGTACGGAGCCGTACGGAGCTGTACCGACTTGTGGTAGAGCGCGAGGCCCCGCACGAAGCGGCGCAGCTGGTAGGCGACGTCCTGCGTGCGCTTGTTGTCGAGCAGCTCCAGCTTCACCAGCACGTCCGAGCGCAGGCGCGCGAACCGCCCGCGCGCGTCCTGGCGGCAGCGCAGGATCAGCCTGACACACCACACGCTATCTCACTCTAGCTGTCTAGCCGTCTGTTGCACTCACAGGACTAAGTACTCTTTAGGTACTAAACATGGCAGATATTTTATGGACTAAAGATTAAAGAAATTCGAAATTAATCTACTGAGTTATGAAAGTTTGTATTAGAGAGATTATACACAGACGAACTAGTAAGTATTTAGCTAAAAGTCTATAATTTTAAAAGAAATATAAAACATCTCAATGCTTAAGAAACTCGACTGATAAATAGTTAAAGGTTGATAGATCATAAAATCAACCCATCAAGAAATAGTTAAAAAATTACTTTTAATTTCAATAGCAGTGGCATAGTTTGCTGTCAAAGTTTATCCTATAAATATGTCAAGTCAAAATTTCTTGTAATTCAAAATGAAAACACCCAATTACTTTTTTTAAATTAAACGCCGTAATGCACAATAATTCGTAATTAACAAAAATTCTCTATTATATCATTCTGTTAGTATTCGCTATTCATTACACTTCTATAAGAGCCGTATCGCAGAAATAAAATGTCTTCAGACCGGATCCTGATGCTTTTATTTTTGCTTACCTGTACTCGTAATTTCCGGTCTCCACTCTGTACAAAGGCTCTTGTAAAGCGTTGTATCCGTACTCTTCATCGTCCATCTCTTTCACTTTCAGGCAATAAGACAAGTACTCAAACTTGGTATCCGCGTATTTACGAATAGTGAGCTTCGTATCGGGAATAGCTTTGTTCAAGTATGTGCCCATATCCGACAAAATCTAGAAATAAAAATTTAAAAAGTAAAAAGATTTCTTATAAAAAGAAGGCAAGTTCCTATAACAACGATTTTGCAATCGCGTTTTTAACGCTAATGGATCTACAGAGGCGTATTATGGTCATAGCTCATTATACCCACCCGACACCCGAGCAGCACCACCTCGTCACTCGTTGTCCACGGGTGGTCCACGGGTGGACAACAGACACGTTCGAGGGGGAGCGGTGTGACGATGCATGGTCCTTACGCGTTAACCTCAACTCGCGGGCGAGGCGCTCCGGGGTTATGTAGAGAGATACCCATATACCGCTCGAGGCGAGGCGGCGTGGGTCGGGTGTCGGATGGCTCTAATGAGCTATCTACTTACTATAAATTTAATTCCCACTTATCTAACAAGGAGTAAGCTTATTTGCAGGCACATATATTTCTAATAATCCGTGTGGTCCGGCTTAAGTAAACGGAGCGTCGAGTGGGTGTCGTAAGAGCCGGCTAAGGAAGCAAACTACGCAGGAAAACAGTACTCTAAAGAGAGGGAAAATTTGACACAACCCGTCTGGGCAGTGTAGTATTGTAGGCCAAAACCTCCTTTCTAAGGAGAATCCTATATCCAGGAGTGGAATATTGATGATGATGATGATATTTCTAAATCAACATACTTTGCCTTTCTGAAGGGCTATATTCTAAGGACCTATCGGCATTTAAGCAGTTTTTTAAGATATAGAAGGCAAACAAGCAGACGGGTCACCTGACGGAAGGTGAGTACAGCTACAGCCGCCCATGAACGCCTGCAACTCGAGAATATTTAGTGCTGGACTTTGATGTTTTAATGCAGTACGTTTTCTTAAAGGCCGTATCAGTAAATACCGCAGACGATAATTTGTTTCGTGAAAAGTTTTTGAGGCAAAAAGATTCGTCAAAAGCGCTTAGTAGTGGAGTGTCAAGTGTACAAGGGATGGGAATGGAAGTTTTATCTCGTTGGAAGAACGCTGCGATCTATATAAATCCGAACAAGTGTTTGTGATTTATAATTAATATACAAAAAGATAACACAAAATTCCTCAAACAACTCATTTTTTTTTGGTTTAATTTACACCAGTTTTTTTATACGATTATGTACAGACACTTACAGGTTTCAGAGCCTTCAGCATTTTAATCCCATCTCGTTCCAACAGTCTATGGTACTGTCCGAACTTGGTGAAGGCTTCCGAAGCTCTAGCTTGGGGTTCCCGCACTCCAATCCCAGCAAAAATATCACCAACTGCTTTGTATGTTTGTAAGAGATCAAAGTATGCCTTTAGCATCCTGGAAGAAAATAGAAACGACCATGAAGGGAAGTGGCATTTGACTGCTACCTCAAGGGTTCAATTAATGCATACTTTAAAAAAAAATTGTTTTCAGGACTGACTGGCTTCAGGACAGACTGTATTTTTCTCCACATTAGTTATATACTCGGCATAGCAGGAAGCGGCCGCTTAAACCACCACGTCGGCCGTGCAATCAAACGTATTTAATACTTGAATAATTATAGTTATAACTGAGATTTAAAGTTTTAATGACTTTAGTGCCCCCACTACTCTATTTTTAATTCTTTAATCTTACACCCCTCGGGGTGGTGCTTTTTCTTTTAATTTGAATACGGACAAACGTGAAGTATAAAAATTTCTAAACTGGTTCATAATTGATGGAACATAACTTGCAAAAATTAAAAATACAACCAAATAGCATAAACCACCTTCATTTTTGAAGTCGGTGAAAAATACCTCCAACCTAGAGAAAACTTTACCTCTTAGCATTCTCAACCAGCCTCTTGTAAGTGCCCTCAGTTTCCCTTAGCTCGTTCAGCTTCGCCACCAGGGTGTCATTGCACAGAATAGCTCGGGACAAGCCTAAAGCATCAGCAGCTCCTGAAGACATGTTCTCGACCAGGCGGTGCTTCATCTTCTTCATGATTATGTCCAGAGACTTACCCTGTTTGGGGTCTGCATGGAGCTTGTTGTAGTTTATTGTCACTTCATCCTATGAGAAAGAAGGAAGATTTTAATAGAAGAAATCCCCTCAGCACCTAAGGACCTTTTTTTGTGCGTGTGGAGTTTCTCGCGTTATCACCCTCACCGGGATTTGTAGTGCGTCGGGATTGAAACGAAGAAAACCACACGGTGTGCCATACTGCACTTACAATTAGAGCGTTCCGGGAACAACTTTTATCGCGCGCTCGCTCGTACAAGTGCTGTCACTACTACCTTCTGGTAAATAATTACTCCTTAATCAAGCGACATCCAGTCACACGCGGAAATCTCTCCTTTTCCCATGGGGTATAGAAACATGTGGAGGTAGATAAATAATGTTACTTATACCCCTGACATCTCACAAAACTAAAAAGTGGTTACGCAGGATGTGAAATTGGCCTCTAGAATTTAGCAAATCTAGAACAGCTTACGATAGATACAAGTTATGGAAATTAAATACGTTTTATTACTAACCTTAGCAGATTGTATCATCTTGGCGACTTCCACTTTGGTCTTCCCCTTAACTGTTTGTCCATTGACTCCAACTAACTCATCACCACTTTGTAATGTACCATCTTTTGATGCTGGGGTATTGTCGAAGATCTAATGGAAAAAAAATGGTATTAATAGTGATTAAAAGTGATTTTAACCACTGCTGAAAAGCCATGCTCTAGAAAGACAAACAGGAGGAACTCCAAAATATATTCTTTACTGATTTCAAAACAAATTAATATTTGCTAAAAAACAGTAAAAGCCATATCACCTATTGATCGCCAAATAGCTCATTTTATCGTATGGAACATTAAAAAATCTTGAAATTTATGCAACATTGACAAACTTTAAATTTATAATTAGTGGCTGTTAATGGTTAGCAATCATTTACTAGCCGTTATACTACAGTTACTGGCCTGTTGGACAGATTATCTTCTACAGATCGCTGTGCCTACATATGTTTAGAAGTGGATTTCCTATGGCTCAAATTATGATTACTGATCCATAGTAACTATGATCGGCCAAAAACAAATTATAAAGTCCTTTGCCATAAATATATTTAAATGCCTTTTGAAATATTAGCTTTCGCCAGCTATGAATGCATTCAATTATTATTATATCCTTTGTGAAATTTCTTTTTTTTAAGAAATGTATTGCAATTTCAGGATAATCAGTGAAATAGTTAAAACGTAACCAATAAATGCGCTCACAATTATAATATTTCTAAGTAAATATATTCCAAATGGTTACCTGCACTATATACAAGCATGGACACAAAGGAGCCCCTCCTCCTATACTAATTCCTATAAGATTCTTCTCATCCTTGCTGAGCGACACACTTCCTGACGTCACTGTCATTCCCCTGAAATATCCACATTTGAAATTATCATGCGGACGAGATTTGTAGGCAAACTTTTGTTCGTTTTTGTGTTTATTTAAAAGAGATTATTGAAACAAAAAGTAACATAAATTTTGCTCATTCGCGTTAACAAAATAATGACGCATTGATCAAGCCCGCACCCTGACCAATCAAGCTCCAAGCTTTCGTACGAAACGAAAATTTCTTGGAATTTGATTGGTCAGGGGGCTACGTCCTACGTCACTGTTTTCTTGACGCGAATGGACTATACTTAGATACTTTCAATTCTTCACATATTTTTAGTAGTCAGTAGTACGAGTGATAGTAGTAGTAAGTCAAATATTAGTGTTTCAAATAATTTATATTTTCAATTTCCATGGGTGTTATTTAAAAAAATATGATACAAAGGTTATTACAAACAATGTTATTCTTATTAAAAAGAATCTCTGAATTTGGATGTCGTGGTTTACGTACTCGTACATATCATATATATCAGCAAAAGTTGGAGCATTAAATGTCCACATTTTACTGACTATAATATTTTACTTAGTTCCATTGTTGTAATAGAGGGCATCGGCTATTGCTATCGGGTGCATTAGGAATAAGATGGGATAACTAGGAGTTCAATTTGAAAAAAAAAAGTTGGTAAGAAGGCATGGGAGTGGCAGGAAAGGGGGTATTGCTTAGACAGTCGGATGGATTTAATAGCACCGTTGCCGTAAGAACCGGGCCGGCTTCAAAGGGCCAGCGCAGACCGAGACCGAGAAGAGAGCAGCGGATCCTGTCCACTGCGCTGCTCTTGGTCTGCGCCGGGCCTAACTGGTAATTATATACCTTATTATTTTGGAAACGGTTAAACGAGTTAGCATAATATTTAAAAAAAAATGAACACAATATGTGGTGATAGATAATTTATTTTAGCATCTACTTGCATCAAACGGTAGCTTATAAAAGTGATACATCGTACAATACAATAGCGATTCCATAAATAGCAATAGCCTTTTCTACTGAACCTGTAAAAGCAAATATAGTGTTAATTTACACATAAACAAAGGTTATAGTCGCTCAAACATATTTTGTCCTTTTTTAACCAATTAAAATGTTGTGACTGTATTGTCTTACAAATATTCGCAGCGCCAGTGACGTCACAAATTGTTACCAAATAGTTTTTGTGACTGTAACAAACTAGCAGTAATAGAACTTCATACTGTTTAGATGCTTACCTAATTATTTAAATCAAATTTAATGTCCCTCCAACACAAACGCAAGATGTTTTGAATAGGCTAGGTGCTCAGACCTGGGCCTCGATTCTGCTATTTTATGTACAAGCCACTGTCATTTTTTTTATGGTGTATTCGTTTGCCCCCAAACGAATAGACTGGTCACTCCATTGACACGCTATTGAGATGCCATTAACATTGGTCAAAACTTTTGTATTCTACTAACATAAATTCACAGTGTCAATAGACTGTCTGTGACTGTCTGACTGGCTGTGTATCAATGGCAGTTCAGTGACAAGTCATCGGACCATTGGTTAGTTACTAACTTTCCTTATTCTACTAACTGTTAGTAGAATACGAAAAGTGCAAAATTATTGCGACGACATTCCATCGACAACCTATTGGTACAATATTAAAATGGCAAAACTGAGGCCCTGATTGTTGATGTAGAGAAGTTGTATCGATAAACTAATCAGAACGAAAATTTACCTTGCGCGATGCAAGATCACAAATTTTACTAAGGTTTGTCTTCACAAGATCACACTGGAGTATGTTTCTGCTAGCATATAGTGACTCACCCTTGGCAGCGCTAAAGTAATTGCTAACATTAAGTGTAACAGTAAATATAGAGTGAAAGAAAATTTGACACAAACCCTGTCCAACCCGTCTGACCAGCGTGGCCTAAACCTCCTTACCAAGGAGAAGGGTTGTCCAGCAGTCGACTATTAGTGGCTGTCGGTAGTGTATTAAAAATCTTAATTTTGTACAAGTGTAGTTACAACATTAAGTAAGTATAGGCTACCGTCAAACCAAGCGGCCAATATAATTTGATCCTTACCAACTTAGCATAGCGTTACATAATTGTTTTACAGTTATTTTACAATAATATAGCTTGGAACATATTATCTTGGTGCAGCAATTTCAACGGTTAACTAGTAGCTACGTCGACCAACATGACTTGATCTTTTTAAAATTACCGCAGTCTCACAAAAAAAGACAACGATTTTTCTGACTCACATCAGATCTTGATGCTGTATAGCATATCTTTCGTATTGCAAATCGTTGAAGACACATTCTGTATTTTCTGGATCTGGAATTTCTTCTCTCGGCTGTCTATGAAAAAAGCTGCATATTATTACGTATATATAATAAATCATGACTAAACCAAAAAAAAAAATTCTGTGAAATTATGAAATAAGCTGACATCAATAATAATTTTATAGAAATACATTAATATACCATTAAGAATAAATAATCAGATGTATTTGACGTTTGTTCATTACTAATTGAAGTTCCTAATACATTACACTGTTGCAGAAATTACATAATAGTATTTACATAATACACCTATAAGTTTAATTATCCTAGTCTTCGAAATCGTCAAAATACTTACTCTTCGAACACTTTGATTTCAGGTATTCCTTGTAGAGTTTCTAGTGTGTTAACAGGGGCTGTCGCACTAAACAAGAATTCAAATAATAATTATAATAAATACATCATAAAATAAACGTGATTATTGTTTTAGTTACATAAAGTTTCTAGGAATGGCACCTATTTAATAAAAGTGTAATGACGGAATCAAACCAGCTGTAAATAAATAAATACAAATATATATTATTTTTTTTGCGTACTCCTTCCGCAAAGGCTGGCAACGCTGTGCCTCCTGAGCTGCAGGCGTTCATGGGCGGCGGTAGTCACTTTCCATCAGGTGACCCGTTTGTTCCCCTTTTTCATAAATAAAAAAAACCACTAGCGACAGAGAGGCGTCTAAAACATGTTTCCGAAGTGTTCAGCGCCATATGCTCTTTATTCAATTTGTCATTGACTATGTAAGGTTACATTTAACCAACCATTTGAGCCTTGCGCTAGCTTTGAGTCTTGATCTTGACAACAATGTGATCCTGCTATTTCGATCGTGAACATATCTTGAAGTGCCTTATCGTCGCTGTACTTTTAACCGACTCTTATTTTTTTAAATAACAAAATTTTGAAGTTCCTAGACTATTCCGACTTCATAACTTTCTATGATCAATAAATAAATGATATTACATAGTTTTAACTAAATGCAATACTTACTGTTCTTCGACAGGTAGCAACAAGGACGTGTTCATACTCCCTTTGGACTTCCTGAACAAAATCACCACAATATAACTTAAAATAACTTTTTACACTGCTTAGAAGTTTTTTTTTATAAACGTACAAACAACTGATTACAGTATAACATTTTTGCAAGTCTCAAAACGTTTTATTAATTTCTGCTTCGGTTTAATAAAATCCAGATTTATTTCTTTTTTTAAATTTGACAGTTACGTATAACTAGGATAGGATTGTCGAACCTGTTTAATTATAATACTAAGTTTACTAAGCCGCAACTTTTCAATAACTACTTAATTATCACTTAATTTTAGCTTACAACTATAGTTAACTTTAAAACTGTTTTTTTTAGAAAATGTAGAAATCGCTAATGGGCTATTACTGCTATTATTATTATTACTGCACTACGTATTAGAAAACAACGTGACTTTAAATTAAATACTGCCAATGGATTTAATTTTACGTAAGATTAAAGGTATTTAGGTACTGAGAGAATTCTAACCAGTATGTATGATAAATGCTCAGGTATATTTGTTTCATTTCCACGTAAGAAAAAACTATTAAAATAATACGTGACCCTTTGAAAACAAACCGACAATTTACCATGACAACTAAAATGCAATCAATGCTTCTTAAAACAAAGTAAAATTTACAACAAAACATTTGGCACATATTACATTTTATCTTCAAACATATTTTGGAGCGACGCCTGTATCGGGGGACAGACCTTCGTGTCATTGAAGATATAAAACTGACTGTTTTGCTGCCACATAGTTAAACACGCAAAAATCAATAATGTAATAAATTCAACACGCTTGTTCTAGGCCGCGATGTTCAAACAACTGATAAACTGGAACAGAGGATGTTAGATAAAGGGTGAGATAACTAAATACAATGTGTTTGCGAACAATATGGGGTAACAGGTTGATGTTTTATGTTTACAAGGAAAAAAGACTTAGAATTTATTTAAATAAGACACATTTTCAAATAAAATCTTACTAGTTTTTTTTTAATAAACTTAAATTTGAATTCATATAATTATTTAACTATGAGTGACTCGAATTGGCGAGTCGATGTATCTGAAATAGGATTTAAGTACCTTCTTATAATTATAATATTAATAGAAAATATACAACAGGAAAAAAAAATCTTGTGAAGTTTTGAATTATCATTCAAAAATATATTAGAACAGTTATAAAGAAAATATTGTGTCCATAAATACAAGATACCGGTTGGATTAGTAATTAATTATAGTACGTATATATTTTATTATGTATATTTATATTCCAAATACTTAAACTGTAACAAAGTTATACTTATAACTTATGTTCCTAAAAATAGCAGCCTTGTTTGGATGTAATACATTTGTAAAACAAGAATTTTAGTGACAAATATGTAAACATAACATTTTGACCCATAAAAACATCAATTTAGCCGAAAACTATAGCGTCTAATTAGTAACATAAAGAGTATACGTACATTTTATCCTCTTCAAAGAAGAAATCGTCATCGTATTCTTGCATCATTTTGTTAATAATTAAATTATTATTCTGTTTCACAACGAATATGAGTATATGACAGTGTTGTTGAAAATATCGATTTTTCGCGGGCGGGCCACGTGGGTGACTGTCGGTAAAACAGTTGCTTACGCATGCGCAAATAAGCGTATTATGTTCACAGAGTTACTAAAATAGTAGAATATCAAGTCAAATGGGTTTCTCTTTATTAAATGTCAAACGGCAATTCGTTTTGAACCTCGTAGAATAATAACTAGTGACATCTAGACTTGGCACAAAATCACAGTGAACTGTGATTTATCATTCGATTTTTGCGTACGTAGATTAGGGTTGCTAGGTAGGTAGGTTAGACGCTAGTTAACAGAAAATATAGTATTTTTTAAATTATTATATAGGGAATGGTAGCTATATATACTAAAATAATTACTAGATTTACTGTTAAATAGGCGAAATAGGGTCTTTATGCATCGTTTGAAAACAGCTTACTGGCAATAACGTGAATAAGTAGCAACCCTAACCTACGTACGAAAAATCGAATGATAAATCACCGGTCTTTCATAGTTCACTGTGATTCTGTCCCATCATACTCTGCTATAGTCAAATCACTTATTTTTATTGTTTGGTTCGAGTAAAATATAATGACTGGCTAAATTTATTTTTGAAATCTTACCATTTGTTTTTATGACTAATAAGAATTATCTTAATAAGACAATTTATTGATTGATTTCATATTTAATTATATAAACAGTACTTTAATAATAAAATTTGGACATCTAACACACAACGCCATGAAAGTACGCAGTACGAACTTGTACCATGAAAGTTGGATTGACTGATAGAATACTTATATACTTTTTTATTAAATACACACTTATTATACATAGAAAACGCCCAAACTCCGAAACATATATTTGCAGATCACACAAACTTTGTAATACATAATATATATAACAGGTAATATAAAATTTCATTAAATATAACCATTCACGGTTTGGAAAGACAAACGTTTAAATTCAACAATCAGTTCTGAACTATAAAAAAACGCGGTAATCAAGTGCTCCACAAAATATTATGTAAACAAAAGAAATTGTCTGTATAACGAGAACACAGTGGCATAAACAATGCAGCGTTGTTTTTTCTTCATAATTTCCCACATATGAGCCGTATTAAGAATACGGAGTGTCATCACCCCTATTCATCCCATGGGTGTCGTAAGAGCCTACTAGGGGAGGAAACTACGCAGGACAGTAACACTGCAATGAGAAGGAAAACTTGAAACAAACCCTATATATACCAACCCGTCTGGCCAGCGTGGTATAGTAGGGCAAAACCTCCTTTCTAAGGCTGTTGATGTGTGTGATGTGTTAAGATTTTCACGAATAAAGAAGCGAACGTGTTACCTGATGGTGACTAGCGCCACCTTTGGACACTTGCAAGTCAAGAGACACAAGTGAGTTGTCGTCCTTCGAGTGTTCCTCACACCCCGTTTTAATAGGAAGGTTGAACCTCCAATAAGCTCACCCACTTGGTGAACAGCAAGAACAGAATTGCTATTTCTTTGAGACCGTGATAGCCTTCCGGTCGAGGATGCCTCGCCAGAAAATATTTATGCTTCTAGCCTGGTGACCCTGTACAAAGGTAGGGCACAGTATTAGACCTTTTTATTTAAATCTAAGTTAGTCTACTTTGAGTCCAACAGTGTTTGTGATAAGTATGCGCACAGGGAGTAGTGAAAAGGCCGATAGCTGGATTCGCACAACACTTTATTTGTCAAGCGACACGACATTTATATGTTAGGGGTGGATGCAACCACCCACATTTTAGGAATATAACATTCCTCCCTCTAGCCTGACAATACATAACATTAAAATAAAACTTATATTAAATAAACATTTAAAAATATCTTTTATAATCCACCCTAGGTACAGGTCGCAATATCTTGCCACAATTGGTTAACCTATCCGGCTGCGGTGGCTGGTGACCTGAAGATGACTCTAGTGAGACTTTATCATCCTTTGATTCGATAGCCTCATAGAATTCTTCGTCTTCTGTCGAGTTACTGGCTTGTGTTTCCTTTTCCACTAATCCTTCTCTTTCTTCCCCCTCTGTATTGGACGCAACCTCAACCAGTGCTGGGGTCGTAGACTGCGGTGACGAAGCTTCTTTCGGGGAGATGTCTTCGAAATCAATAGGACAGTTACTCGACTGATGAAGGTTGCTACCTGTACCCTTGAAGGGTATTAATTGGTTTTGATGTTTTTTAAAGTTACAAGAAGTTAAACTGTCTTTAACAATATAAATAACTTTACCAATTCGTTTCACAATAACCCCTTTGTTCCAGAATCGTTGTTTATTATTGTTATATGTTTTATATAAAACATGGTCCCCCGATTCAAAACAACGTTTTCGCTTTGTATTAGACGCTTTAGACTGTAAGCACTGTTTATTTTCGACACGTCGAGCGAGAGTGACAGACGCCGGCAAGGGTTGTATTGTATTGATTATGTCCAATCGTGACCGCAATTTATGTCCAAATACTAACTGAGCAGGCGAACAGCCCGTGGTGGAATGTATGGAGTTTCGATAATCAAACAGATATTTACACAATTTATGTTGTATAGATTTAACATTTTCATTACTTAAAATACACGATTTAATCCCCTTTTTAACAACCTTTACGTAACTTTCTGCCTGCCCGTTACTAGCCGGGTGATAAGCAGGTGACGTCACATGCGATATACCATTAGATAGACAAAATGATTTAAATTCTAGCGATGTGAATTGCGTGCCATTATCGCTAACTAAAGTGTGTGGCAGGCCAAACCTCGCCATATATTCATATAACTTGCTAATCACTGATAACGTAGACGTACTTGTACCCATATCATACGCTTCCACCCACTTAGAGTACGCATCTACTATTACTAAATAAGAACGCTTATGAATGGGCCCTAAGAAATCTATATGTATTCTATAAAACGGCTGTGGTGGGTGGGGCCATAACGCGAGCGGCGCACGCGCGGGCGACTGTCGTAATTGTAAACAAATCGCACAGCCGGCAATCATATTTTCAATAGCTTTGTCTACTCCGGGAAACCAAAACCTGCTACGCGCCTCTGCTTTCGTTTTAACAATACCTAAATGTGATTTATGAAGCTCAAATAATAACTTAGTTCTCATAGATATAGGGATAACTATTTTGTGCCCTCTCATAACGCAACCGTTTTCATACGATAACTGAGTCTTACAAAGAAAATAAGGTTTAATTGATACATCTGATAAACGCCTTGGCCATCCATTAGTAATATAAGAAATAACTTTGCATAATATTGTGTCCCTAAGAGTTTCTTCGCGTATTTCGTTTAACGTTATAGGCAAACTACCATCTATAACAAAGTTAACATACGAAGCGCGATCTTCGATTGGCACTAAACTGTCATTATCCCATCCTCGTCGCCACTGATAAGTATGCGCACAGGGAGTAGTGAAAAGGCCGATAGCTGGATTCGCACAACACTTTATTTGTCAAGCGACACGACATTTATATGTTAGGGGTGGATGCAACCACCCACATTTTAGGAATATAACAGTTTGAAAGACAAATGTTTTTACGTCGCGGCAGTGGTGTAGTCTATTACAGTGTTAGAAAGTCACAAGTTTGATTCCCAATCAGTACAAATACAGTGTCTGCATGAATATACATATTTACAATGGTTTGAATTATTTTTAGAAAAAATATGATTATATTATACACTACATGCAATGCTGAATTTGAATCTCGTAAGCGCTATGTAAAATATTCAAAAAAGTAAAAGTATAAAAGCATGAGTTAAGTTTTTTTATTCATCTGTTAAATCAAGAACTTTAAATCTTGTTTAAAGTTCTTGATTTAACAGATGAATAAAAAACTTAACTGTTGCTTGCTTGTTTTAAAATTATTGAAAAAAAAAACTTATCTACACATAGATATTTAAAATAGTTATGACACAATCTCAAATGTTAAAACGAATCTCATCAATTTTGTAACCTCTGTAATCTTTAATCGATTACCGAGTGTAACAGGGTACGAAGCCGTGACTACATTTAAATCCTTGTAAAAAAAGGTTTATTACCTAACCCTCGTGACGTAAGACATCAAGCCATTATAGCCAGTTGAGCAACGTGAACTGCTTTATATGTAAAAGTTGCATTTAGCTTGTTTCGCCAGTACACAATCACGGGCGAAGACGGGCAGTCATAAAAGTTATAAAAAAATAAAAGAATGAATAAATTAATTCTTGTGAGTATAGTGTGAATATCCAACCGCTTTTTTTGACAGATGAGTTATTGCGAGTCGTTCTAATTTTAAAAGTGTGTTCTGTGTTGTTTATAAAAGTGGCGAAAATTTGTATGGTGTTGTGGCTTGAAAATAAAATGAAATAATGGATTAATTATTTAAAGAGGTAAAAACACTAATTTGGAAGATTCCTTCCCGAATTTATAAGACTGCAGACAAGGTATCGTTGTGTTGATATCCTGAGCAGAGTCGATAACTTGGGTGTAGAGATTTATGAACTTTCTTATAGATTTTTATAATTTTTTGTTGGAATACGCAACAATAAACATTTTTCATGGGTAGAGTATTTGGTTCTGTTACCTCCGAAAAAATATTTTGATGTTTTAGAATCCCTGTAGGGGTAACCATTAAGGTGACAAATAATACGCATGACGATAAAATGAATTTACTAAAGTCGCATGATGTTTCGAAATAAGATTTCTCACTTGCATCCTATTGGACAATGTAGGACATAACGTAAAGTATTTTTTAACCAACTTAAAAAAACAGGAGGTTCTCGATTCGGTTATTTATTTTTCGTCGTTCGTGAACTGATTTGGCAAATTAATTTTTTATTTGGAAAGGTCTACTGCCGAATCCACCCCATTCAAATAAAACAAATATACAACACCCCAAAAGAGTGGTAAATTAGGGAATGAAGAATGCAGTCACTATTTCTAGTGCTATAAAAAATTATATCAAGGAAACATTATTTCTATACACATTTATTCAGAGAATCTCACTACATGAAACAAAATACAATCATTATCAGCTAATTTGTATGGAAAGTTCAAAACGAGTTCCATTGCGCAGTGAAATTACATTAATTCGTAATTATTTTGTAACTGTTACAAGTTTTGATTCAAATTTGTTTTGTGATTAGTTCGCAACCACGACTCGTAATGATATTTTATCAGCGGTAGCAGTAATTTAATTAAAAAAATTACCGACTTCAAAAAAAGAGTCGGTTTTTTATTAAGAACCTTGCATACTTTCCGTTTAGTCCCATTCAAATTTCAAGTGAATATAAAGGAATTAAGAATGCGCTTACTTACTACGAGTATTTACAGCATGATGTAGGGAAGTTGATGACGGTGACTTTTAAAAGTTAATTATCAAAACTAAGTGAACACCCACACAAATATACAAAAACAACATTTCACAACACAAACACTCCTAATTCGTGTTTAATGTTAAACGATAAGATAAGATTAAATACTGTGATTGTAATTTTTCTCATATTTTGTTTTAAAGGGATTTACTACGCTATTTAAAGATTTATGGAGGGTTAGGTTTAGAATTACTGTTTCTATATTAGCATCTGTTCCTTTATTAAAATCTGTTCCATTATCTGTAGATAATGAATAGTATACACATTCATCTATAATAATGTTATAAAGCTGAGGCTAGACCGCTAGGCTAGAGGTCCGTGTGGTGACGGATTAAGAATACGGATTGTCACCATCCCCATTCATCCCGTGGGTGTCGTAAGAGCCAACTAAGGGCGCAAAACAACGCAGGACACCAGCACTGCAAAAAGAAGATAAACTTGACACAAACCCTATACTAACCGTCTGGCCAGCGTGGTATAGTAGGCCAAAACCACCTTTCTAAGGAGAGGCATATATCCAGCAGTGGACTTGCAAAGGCTGTTGATGAGGCTAGACCATGAACGGCTATATTCTATGATTTTATCAATGGTGTCTTAACATGTCGCATATGTTCGCGTACATCTAGACATAAAGTTGGCTACTGCAGTCACTTGAGGGCACATGACAGGGCTTATCATTCTAGCCCTCCTTATATCATATACTACTGGTTCGATTTGATAAAATCTTTTAGTGTTCGATATTTCATTTGTCAAAGAAGGCTATAGTCTGTATAAAATCACGCTACGGCCAATAGGAGTGGAGAAATAATATAAATTGATGCAAAAACGAGTAAAATTTATTTAATTTAAAACGCAGACAAAGCTGTGCGGGACAGCTAGTGAGTAATACGCGTCACATTTATCTGGGTGTTCTCTGTGTCCGTTACATGTGTGTTTGTAAAGTCCCCCGCGACACAGGATATATTCTTAATACGGGAGTTGTCTTTTTAAAAAAGAAAAGAAATAAATTTATCGTCTATACTTGAATAAAAGGCCTATCTATACAAATATATAAAATTGAAGTGTCTGTTTGTAATGTCGAAATTATAGGTTTTTTTCATGCTCACACGGTTATTTACACGATACCTATGCCTTAAAACCAGTTTATTTTTTTTTGTCTGTCTGCCTGCCTAACAGACGTTAGTTTGTTTCGGGTAATCTTCTAAATGGCTAGACCGATTTTGATAATATTTTAGCTGTCAGGTAGCTGTCTATATAAGAAGTAACTTAGGCTATTTTCTTCTCAGAAAAACTCAGAATTTTTTTTACCGGTCTATGGGGCTCGTGGTGTCCACGGCTTCACAGAAAACTAGTGTTAAGCAATTATTGCCTTGGGGTTCGGCCCCAAACTGCCCCTCGCAGTTGCACGGGTCCATTGGTGTCGGTAGCTACTGACCATTAGGTCAACCGTATGCTTGTTTGCTCCCTATACCATAAAAATATTAATGGATTTCAAAAAAGAGGAGGTTCTCACTTCCGATACATTTACTTTTGTTTGTTAACACAGAACAGAAAGTGGTATGAAGAATACAGTTATACAATAGATGCATTGAAAAAATAAGTTACTATTTCTTTTTCACAAGCTGTTGGCACTGAAATTTAGTAGTGGTTTTCATATAGACAAATCCTCCGAATTCTTAACAGTAAATTCTGTTCGTAATATAGTTACGTGTATCATAAATAACGAAACAGAAAAATATTCACCGCAGTATCTTAGGGAACGTGCCCATGCTACGTGACCCGTTCAGAAAGGAGATATTCCTTTAAAATCCCACTTGTTCACAGAAGCGGGGGGAGGGATCAGGTTTTCGTCACGTAGTCAATATTTTCCAAGGAATTTTGGCGCGTTTTCGAGCTTTATTCAAATATGGCGCGCAGTGTATAGCTCTTTTTATTTGCAAAAATTTAAAACCATATTTATGTATTACTACGTGATAATTGCCGATAACTAAAACTGCCAACGAGCCTTTTGGTTTAGTGTTTGGTGACCCTAATTGCTTAGTCCGTTTGGAGTGACATCCAAGACAAATATTGTTTGATAAGCACCATTATTTGCTCTGTGTCTGGGTTTGATTTATCTATAATATGAATGTATTTGGAAATTTATGAGTATGTTTATCACCAGGCTGGTTAACATGGCTTTGCCTAGTTTGGGATCAGACTGTCATGTATGAGATGAGTGAAATTATTATAAAAAAGTAGTAGAGCGAAAACACCCCTCTAGTTTTCAGTAGGTGGTAGTTAGCCTTGGCATACTCTGCGAGTGGTTACATACATGATATACTGTGGTAAGAGATTGTTGCTTTTGTGCGTGTTGATCTATGACTTTAAGGTCTACAGTCATAAGATACGAATTCACTTATTATTTTTCATGAAATAAAGATATTTTGAGTTAAAATTTAACCCATTTTTTCCTATTTTCAACTCCCCACTGTGTGACATACGGTGTATGCCAGACAACTACTACCTACGGACGTCTATATAGTTGATATACTTAGTACAATGTAATGCAGTATTCTCCAGTCGCGTTCAACCTTAGTAACAACCCACGTTCTCTAATTACCTCCTCTAATAACACGCGTTTGCCTTGGGTTTCGAATATATCTATCAAATCAGAGTTTAGAAAGAGGTACATTGAAATTGTTGGACTAATTTTTATATAACGAATATTTGAACTAAAGTTTCATCGACAAATTACTTTATGGTTAGTGGTTAATGGTTTCTTTGTTCAATTTGCACATATTTAAGGGTGAATCCAAAGGAGCGAAAGGGCCATTACCCCACCTACCCCACTGAGCAGGTCAAATTTCATATGATTACTAGTACGTAATTAAGTTAGAGCTTGTCATGAGTCCTGACTGAAATCGGTCCAGCCGTTTTGAAGATTACCCAAGACAAACATACAGACAGACCGACAGACAGACAAAAAATATTTACACTGGTTTTTATAGGCATACGTATCATGCAAATAATCGTGTGAGCATGGAAAAAACCTATTATTTAGACATTACAAACAGACACTTCAATTTTATTTATTTGTATAGATTAAGGACAAGGCTTAAAATACTCTTACATGATTTATATGTAATAAATGTAATAATCTGTTGTAAAATGTAATAACTGTTAAAAATGTAGTAAAGCTCCGTAGCTTTGCCTCCGTAGCTTAGCCGAGCGGCGAGGGCCGTCCCTCGCCGCTCGATGCAGGTACTGTTAAAAATATTAACGTTAGACCGTTCATATCATTCAATATATTTTTTCTAACCTACATAACTGATTGATCTGGTTAACAAATTGTGGTTCCCTATTTTTATGTAGGCACCGCACTCTTGGGTAAAGTTATAGATTTTTGGTATATCAAAAATCAACCGGATTGTACCTGCCTCATTCTGTTGATTTTTTACAAACCAAAATCTAATAGAATGGTTTTTTCTTAAAAAATATTCTAATGACGTGTCATTCCATCTGACAGTTATTTTATTTTTCAGTTCTGCCTACTTCTTGTTTATTACGAGGCAAAGGCGCAAGCACCCACGGGGCCTATAGCCGGTTTCATCCGAACTAATTTTATAGGTCATCCTGTTATCCATGACAGGGTATCTTGGGTCTTCGATCCTGACGTAGCTTTGAAGAGAAGAAGACAGTTCATAGAATTGCATGGAGACAAAGGTGAAAAGTTAATAGAGAGGTTAGGTCTTGGAATCGATGGAGATGATCAAGAGAGACTAGAGAAGCAGAGACAGAGGGATGAAGGGCATTTGGGAGGTTTAAATGCTTACCTTCCTTAGTTATTTGTTTATATGTTGTTATAGTGATAATAGAATTGTTATAAATTATTTACTTCTAATACATTTTGTTTTATTTATAATACATTTGTTGTAGCACATTGTGGTTGCATTGATGAAAAACAAAACTGACGCCAAAAATGGATAAAAACAATCTTGGGAGCGGTTTGTGTATCGTGTCTAAATGTGAGCTCAATCGGTGCTAGGTACACAAACCAACTCAATATTTTTATATGTATAGATTATTAAGTAATTCGGTAAGTTTTGTAGTAGTGATATAAAGACCACGGCCATTTGTGCTGTGTCTAGGTGTACTTTATCTATAACTAGCTGACCCGCGCAACTTCGTCTGCGTCTCTCAATTGTAATAAATTTTCTCCGATTTTGAAACATTCTTCATTGGTGCTCCGCTCCTATTAGTCTTAGCGTGATGATATATAGCCTATAGCCTTCCTCGATAAATGGGCTATCTAACACTGAAAGAATTTTTCAAATCGGACCAGTAGTTCCTGAGATTAGCGCGTTCAAACAAACAAACAAACAAACAAACTCTTCAGCTTTATAATATTAGTATAGATATGTATGTATTTAGTAATCTATAAGTATGTTGATCAGCAGGCTGGTTACCGTAGTACAGGTTCTGCCTAGTTTGTGCCGTGTATGAAATGTTTGGAAATATTATATTATTGGTATTTTTTTTTAAATTGTATTGTGTATACCAAAAACTAAAGTAGATACTTTATGTATACTTGTATGTTGACGACCGAATGGTATGTGTAACGGACTGCTATTCCAAAGGTCGCGGGTTCGATTCCCGCTCAGTATGAACTTTTAGTGTTTGATTTGGTCTGGGCGTTTCTATTTATAATATGTATGTATTTACAAAAACAAGTATAAATGTATTTATATCAGTTGTTTAGTACCCATAGTACAAGCTCTGTTTAGTTTGGGCTGTTCTGCTTACAATTAGATGGCTTTGTGTCAATGTCGTAGAATTTTATATTATCATTACTTTGTTATCAAAATGCAAGCGTAATATTGACTTTTTTATTGCTTTAGACTTCAATATAAAAAAAATTGCTCTCTGTTTAGCTAAGCTGCGGTTGTCTCCTTTTTAAATCCCTCTTATTCCCCGGCCAACCACAGAACTGGACTAGAAAGAGATAGAAGGGAATAACTGTTATCCATCTCTCTCGTTGCCTATTTGCAAGATTGGGGCTCTTGTTCCCTCTAGGTTTTATCTATATGCAGATAACTCCAGCATCAGATAGCGCTCGTTTCCCTGACTTTAAAAAAATAGAAACAGAAATATTTATTTGTCAATGTAGGTAAAATTAATATTAGATGTTACGTATTTTTTTATTTCTGTTACACTTCCATTTCTTTTTACGAAGTCACTCTCACAGATTGCAGGACAATGAGAAAAAAGTGTCACGTATCCACAGCACAGACCATCGTCGTCAGGATAATTCTATGGAACAAGTCAAAATGAATCATATGAGTTTAGACTCGGGGGTTTACTAGTAGTGCTAGATGGCGTAGTGGTTTAAGCGATCACCTCGCCGCTGCCTAAAGCGCTGAGTGCTGTGTGTTCATTCCCTCGCATTCCAGGATTACGTGGGCGGTCGTTTCTCACACGTCCTCTGCGAAGAGGACTGTCCGTCGCATTAATGGTGAATAGTTGTCGGTTCAAGGCTAGGTGTCCTGTTATAGTTCCTACAACTATTCGGATTTCTAGTCTGCTAAGACTGTTCAATCTGCAGGGGAGTCATGATGTGACTTCAGTCAGCAGCCGGGTGAGTTTTCCACCTCCGGTTATGTGCTTCACGAGTCCATATATGTATATTCCCAGTGCGGAAGTTGTCTCTTTACAGAAATAGAAGACAAGAAGTCACACTTACTCAACTATACTATACAGTTACACCTAGTGCCTACATTAGCAGATCAACTCCAAGGTGCTAACTTCTTGTATTATAATCCAAACATTCAACGTCGACTTTATTTGATTAGGTATATCGTATTGTGACCGTAAGTTGAATCGGTATTCTGCTAATACTATTCTACGAGAATACCTTTTATGAGATTTGTGAGATCAAAAGTAGATCAGAACTGAATTTTGAATAATTTTTTATTACTAGAATAGACTTTCTGGTTGCACTGACCGCATTCAGCCCTTGTAATAACTGTATTTAATATCTATCGTAAGCTTACATACAATTATAAGTAAATACAATTATATACTCTTATAACTTTGTACTGTCCGTGTGGTGACGGATTAAGAATACGAAGTGTTACCACCGACTAAGGGAGCAAACTACGTAGGACAACAGCACTGCAAAGACTATACCAACCAGTCTGGCCAGCGTGGTATAGTGGGCCAAAACCTCCTTTCTAAGGAGAGGCCTATGTCCAGCAGTGGACTATTACAGGCTGTTGATGATGATGATGATAACTTTGTAAAAAACGTAGCATTATTCTATCGTAAGAAATATGTTTCAGTTTCACAATTTCTTAGAAAGATAACTCACCAACCAAAATTCCCAGTGTGCAAGGTTAGATTGCTAATGCTGGACATTACTATGCTTGTTGCATAAATAATTGCCCACTTTTATTTTATCGCTAACGTTTACCTTGACCCGGCGAACATTTATATTTATAATTAGATGAGTTTCGACAATACAGTGACGTTGATTTATTAATAGTTGCACGATAGTCAAATGTCAAATTGTGATGATCACGTATGTAACTAAAAATATTTATTGTAAGAAGAAACAGAAGCTGTCAATACCGCTGGGGTAATTAAGCTCCCTGATTGCCATATAATCTCATTTTAAAATATATGTATAGTATTTAGGAATATGTCGGTTACCCATTCATCATCATCATCATCAACAGCCTTTACTAGTCCACTGCTGAACATAGGCCTCTCCTTAGAAAGGAAGTTTTGGCCTACTATACCACGCTGGCCAAGCGGGTTGGTATAGGGTTTGTTTCAAGTTTTCCTTCTCTTTGCAGTGCTATTGTCCTGCGTAGTTTACTCCCTTAGCTGCCATTATGACATCGATGACTAACGATAATGATGAATAGGGGTGGTGACACTCCGTATACGATTGGCATGAAAAAAATCTACCCACTCACACGGAGATCCTTTATAAAGCCTGTTTTAGATTAAACCCTAATAGTAGCTTCTGAGTTTTAGTTGTCTACGATTTGGCGTTCAATGCAAAGATAAGGCGATAATAGTTTTAACTGGACAATTCCTTTCAGTGGTAATTTATTCAATTAAGTAAGTATACTGGTCAACAGTCTATGGATGGGTGACCATTCAGACCCCTGCGTGCCTCAGAGAGCACGTTAAGCCGCCAGTCCCGGTTGCCATACGAATATCTGTGGCAATCGTTACGGTTAGTTGGAAGCCTCATCTCCTAATACTTGGGTTGTGGAGGGCTGATGGCAGGCAGAGATGGCAAAAAATGAAGTTCAGTTGTATTGTAGTAGACTTAAAACCGACCTCAACCTAGTTTGGAAGAAAAGCTCGGAGGAAGACCAGGCTAGTCGATATCTCTGTCGTAGTAGCTTCTCTCCAATCACAGGGCATACATACCTGAACGTGACTTGGGCCTTCGAGCCACTGCACCACCACTGGCCAATATTTTGGCTTAGACGTCGATTACTAACCACTAGAGTCTAGAGATTACCAATACGCCAGTCAAATATAAGTCATGACTATGTTCTTTCTAGAGACAAATAACTTAAAGACGAATTTGTTCTTAGTGATTATGATTTTTATGGTGTTTTGGTAAGCAAAGTCACGGGTACAGCTTAGTAAAACAATAGTAATTCAATATCATTTCATTTATTTACCGTAAATTATTACAATGTCGATTGATATTCCATAACACTGATTGAAATCTTACTTCTACAGATAATGAAACATATCCTAGGAATCATGAAAACGGTACCCTAGCTAACTATAGAGAACAATATTTGGAATACTAAATTCATAATCGATAAACAAATCAAAATAACGAAAATTATTTCGAAATTCCGAGACATTTATCCGTAATTAGAACTTATCTAAAAGCTACAATATTTCTTTATTTTTCTGGCAACACTTGATACTGATATTTGAAACTATGGCATTTCAAGTTGCATTGGGGAGTGATGTACAGCAGAAAGTGGTGTCTTTTTCTGCTAGGTCGTTGTGTGACCAATAGCATAATTTCTGTAATGGTCATAAACTGCACTTATACTCGTATAAGAATAAAATACTCCATTGGGTATTAGTTTTAATAAACTAATTAAATTTAGTAACCGCAAAATAGATTAAATTTTTTTTTTTCTGGATATTATGTTATCAGTCATATAACTTACGACACATCAATAGTTGTAAATAGTTACGAAACAAGGTAATTATTGAAAAACCAAAACACCCGACTGCGTGAAAATTTCCATCGACCCGTTCAGGCCGCAGAGCGTGCCAACAATTATACATACATATACTCAACAAACATAACCCTCCTTCTGGCGCAGTCGGGTAAAAAACAATGCCATCTACATAACAATCATAGTTTTACTATACTCCCCATAGATGGCGCTGTTAGCCATAGTTTCAAATGATTTCAATATCGATTTAAAAAAAAATATATAGAAATATGTAGCAATTAATGTTAATCTGTCCGCCTCTAAAGCACTAAATTAAGAGTTTCGTCACACTCATATGAAGTATCTTAAGTCGTCATATTGGAGTTTGATATATAAAAGTCGGACTTCTTCAATTATTCACTATATTGTTGTAATATAATCGTGATCTTTGTCATGTATCCTTTAAGAAAAGAAAATATTACTTTAGAGGCGAGCGGAACTACAATTATGACTGTAAAAATAAAACAATGAATAAATGCGTATCAAGAATTGCATATCCAGTAGGTACTTACATACTAAAAAAAATTAAACACTCCAAGTTACTTTGTGACTATTCCCTTAATACTAAGATATTAATA